GAAATCCTGCCACTGCACTCCAGCCTGGACAAACAGAGTGAGATCGTGTCTCAAATGAATGAATGAATGAAGTGAATGGATGGGTATACCATGTTCATGGATTGAAATATGTCAGTTCTCCTCATATTGATCTATGTGATCAATCCAATCAAGCATCATGCCCAATTGGTTTTGCTTCCTGGGCATAGCTCAACACTAGCCTATTCTCTCAGTCTCCATCACCTCCCACCTAACCCAGGACACCACCTTAATGTCTGTAACAACCTTTTAGCTGGTCCTCTACTTCCAATTCATCCTTGAGACTTCAGCCAGAGAAAGGTTTCAAACATATGGATGTCAGATCCTGCTTTAAACTGTGTAGTGGCTCCCCAGTGCCCATGAGATGAGACTCAGGCTCCCTGAACAACACTCAAGGCCCCTGCTTACATCTCCAGCCTCAGCTCTTGCTACATTCTCCAAGCCCACTCCCCACACTGCAGGCACAGAGAGCGTCTTTCCATTGCCTGAGAGTGTCCAGCCCCTTTAAGGATTGCCCCCGTCACCCTCCCCTGTTCTTCTACTAACTCCGCTTCTGATTCAATGGATTACCTTTGCGCAGACGGTCCTCCCTAACAGATCATGCACGCCATGAGGGTGGGGGTGAAGACTGTCTTGGCCACATCCACAGCTATCAGCAGTGCGCCTGCCACCCACACGTGTGCTTGGGAGGCATTAGGATGGAGGAACAGTGGGCAGTAAGATGTGTCCCGTGGAAAGCGACATGTCCATGCTTTTGATGTCCTCACAGGGTGTGGAGGAGGGGTGATGAACCCGTGTCAGCTGGAACGCAGAGACAGGCACATGATGCCACAGTGCCAATGTCATACCCTTCCAGGCCCTGGCCCAAGCCTGGCTGCTCCTCCCCCGGCAGCTTGCCCCCTGGAGGATTCACAAAGGGACAGGGTGTCCCAGACAGCGAAGATGGGCCCAGCCTGAGCCTTGACCTGAGTGAGGGACAATGCATATGCCCCTGACTCAGCCACCTAACCCTGGTGCCATGTCCCCTGGGACCCCTGAGTGAGTCCTGTGGTCCTAGCCCCGACCTGAGGCAGTGCTCTGTGTGTGGACACTGACGGTACCTGCTGGGGACTGGAGAGGAAGGGCCAGCGGGGGCTGCACTAGCGGGACGGCCTGAGGGTTATGGCCAGCACCCTGCAGCCGCAGTCTGAGCTCCCCAGGATGCTACGGACAGCCGAGAGCTCCTGAGCTTCCCAGGCCAGCCTCCCCGCCAAAACCCTTCCTCCAAAGCAGAAAAGACCCTTCTCCTGATGAAGCTGCCACGTCCAGGGCTTCATGTTGGGATCAAAAGGCCCAAATTATCCCCCGGAATAAAATGATTCTGCCATTAGTTTCAAAAGGCAGCAAAACTAGCTTAAGTCTGGCAAAAATTGGGTGAAAAAAAAATGCAAAATCATATGAGGCCTCCAAGCAACGGCAGGCAAGGCGCGACTAGGAAGAGAGCATGAGCCCAGAGCTCAGGGCGGAACACGCGGCCCCAGCCTGGCTGGCCGCTCCTGCACCTGGCCTGGCAGCCCTGCCCCGGCCGGCCCTCTCCCCTTCTACCGATCTTGGGCTCAGGATCTCGACACTCACCCCAGAGGCTCTGCTGCCCCCAAGACTGGCCCAAGCCTGGAGGACTGTGAGGAAGAAGGCATCAGAATCAGGACACAGCTCCCACCAAGGAGTCACCCACTGTTCCTGGGGCTGGACGTGACGACAGGAAGAAACCCAGGCAGGTGGTGTGGGGCAAAGTCCCCGGGAAAGGCTGGGAAGGAGGTGCTCGTGCCCACACCCAGTCCTGCCCGTCTGCATCTGCCAGGGCCGCCCTTTGTCCCTTCCCACCATGGGAGGGACAGTCTTCGGCCCACACACCCTGCTTGGCAGGCCTGCAGTATCTCTAGGGGCCCCACAGCCCTGGACCCCATGGAAAGGCCAGGCCCTGCCCTCAAGTGTTCTGGAGAGTTCTGGGTGCCTTGCCAGGGCTGCCGTTGGGGAAACAGCATTTTAGGTTTCAGGGCAGCGCTCGTTTGCCAGGACACAGGCCACTGGGAACTCGGCGTTTGTGTAAGACATGGGCACTTCTAAGGATGACACGTTTATGTCCCCGAAACCCATGTACTGAAGTCCTCACTCCCGAGGTGAGGAATGAAAAGGTGGGATCTCTGGTAGGTGATGAGGTCATGAAGGCAGAGCTGTCGTGAACGGGAGGAGTGTCCACATAAAACAGTCCCTGGGCGCTCCCGTGCCCTTCCACCACATCAGGACACAGGGAGAAGGCACTGTCTCTGGACCAGGAAGCAGGTGCTCACCAGACACCAGGCCTGCCAGTGCCCTGACCTCGGACTGCAGCTTCCAGAGCGGACAGCAAGGCTAGTCCGTGGTTCATGAGCCGCCCAGGCTAAGGTGTTTTGTTTCAGCAACCCAAAGGAACTCAGCAGGTGCGACCCAGGGGCTCTTCGTGGGCTGAGGATACTCTGGCTGTCTCTATTTTCATGTAAACCAACAGCCTGGCAGCAAAACAAGTGGCCAGTGGAGACTGAGTGACTGACAGGCAGCCCAGAGAGGCCCGGAGAGGGCAGGAGGTGCTGGGCAGTGGCTCCCAGCTCCAGAGCACCCCTAGAGGCCCCTGGGTGACCCAGGCAGGGAAGCTCACGGGCATCCAGGAGCAGGAGTGCTGGCGGTGGTGCTGACGACATGCCCGCTGATGGTCCGGGCAGGGCTGCCGGCTATAAGGCCGAGAGGGGACTGAGGGTTTCTAGACGGCCTCCACCCATAAGCAGAGCTGTGCCAGGAGCCCGTCCAGGCGGGCAGCAGCCTCTGCAGAGTCCACCCCAGCAGACGCTAAGAGACAAACGTCACTGGGTGGCCTGGGGCCGTCAGCCCAGAAAGCAGGAAAAGCCCCGCAGCACCTCACCCCCACTTGCCTCCCTTCCCTCCCGACACCCCGGGAGTCTCCCCCAAGGGCACGCCCCCCCTGCAGATGTTCCCAGGGTTATGGTCCACACAGCCGCTGTTGAGTGAGTATGCTGGCCAGTGTGTGAGACGGGGTGGGAGCCCCAAGGGAAGGGGCTAGGCTGTGGGCAGCGTTCTTGGGGCAGCCTTGCCCGGGGATGGCATGGGGTAGCCTGCCTGGGGAAGCTGAGCCAAGAAGGGCACGAAGTCCAAGCGTTTCAGCCAGGTGGGGGGCACTCCGGCTTCTCCCTCACCAACCCCACCTCCTCCATCTTCCCTACGAAACATCTTGCTCCCAAGCTCTCTGTCTGCCTCTGCTTCTGGAGAATCCAACCCTCACTGGAGAAGTCAGTCGTCTGGGATTTGGAGCTGGGTCACTCACGGCCCACTGGCAACGGGGACCCATCACCGGCCAGCAGAGACAGCCAGTTCCTGGCACAAGGTGTCCTCCTGTCCAGTCCAGTTGTAAAACTGATTCCAGGGTCCAGTGAGAGGGTTGGGGAAGGGGGTGTGCTGGGCGCCCAGCTGCCGTGTTTGATGAATGCACAGACACGAGGGGTCCAAGGAGAGTGGGGAAGGTGCAGGCGGCCGAGGCCTCACTGCGGTCCCCGGGCTGGAGTGCGGAGAAGCCGGGCGGGGGCACAGCAGTCTCGGCTCCTGGTCAATGCCCAGCCAAGGCCAGGGCCCCGTCTGGAGAACCCAGGACCCTGGACAGGGAGGAGGCAGTGCGTGGTGCCTGAAGGTTTGTCCCCAGCCTCTTAGGAAGCTTCTGAGCCTGCAGACAGACAGGGCCCACCCCTCGCTCCTCCCCCGTCAGGCCCTGGCCCCCCTTGGGTCCTCGGGCTGACCGAGGGAAGCACCAGCAACATCCAGTGAGCAGGGAAGGGGCTGCAGGCCTGGCCAGCTCGGGGCACACGAGGGGGAGCACTGGTGGGACTGGATGCTGAGGCGCCTGATGGGGAAGCCAAGACCTAAGAGCCGTGTCCCAAGACACAGGGTTTGACACTCTGGCAAGGCCCCTGCAGGTGAGCAAACCTGGGGCATCCTAGAAGCGTGGGCAACACTCCCACTTTTGCCGGGCAGGGTGAAGATGCCAGAACTGCCGTGGCTGGTGGAGGGTGGGCATGCGCGGGCATGTGCTGGGAGCCACCAAGCACTGGTTCCCTGGGAAGACCAAGGTCACGCCGCTCACCTGCGCCATGCTGGTTAATGGGGAGTGGCAGCTCTGCCACAGGAACCAGCATCACAGGGTTTGGCTGGCCGAGGGCAGAGGTCACCAGGCCGAGGGGTGCCAAGGGGCCTGCAGGGCTTATGGGATGGCAGCTGAGCACGGCAGGGCTGCCGGCGAGGGCAGTGCGCAGTGGGGCCGGCGGAGGGGTCCAGGAGGGCTGAGTGCGGTCACCCTGATAAAGAGCCCCAGTCGGGCCACACTGAGCCCGAGTTCGTTTTGAGCCGCGGTATCTGCTGACTGAAGAGGTGGCCAGGCCTGAGAGACTAAGGATCTTCCCGCCATCAGCAAGTGTGCATGACAAGGACTTTCCCAGGGACTATGCACCGGAGAGAATGTGCTGGCATCCTGGAGCCACGGGGCACACAGGCCCTGGGCCGACACTGGTCCCCAGAGGTCCCCAGGGCTCCATCACAGTGGGACACACGACGTGCAGTTAATACCGGAGTCCTGCCCAGGACCAGCTCACACGAGCCCACAGGGCCCACAGACCCACCGGGGCACATCCTGGCCTCTGAGCCTGCGACTGGGACGGACACCTGGGGAGCGGCCGACACTCCTGCTGCATCTCTGGGGTAGAGGTGGTGGGAAGGCCAACAGGGACACACTAGAAGCCAAGACTGCCCGGGTCCCAAAGCAGCAATGGCATCTCGGGAGAGCGGAGAGAGGGTGGTGGCCTGGCTCTCTCCTCATTTGGTTCAGTGTGGCCCCGTGGGGTGGGATTCCTGGAGGGCCACGTGACAGCCGAGGGCGGCCCAGCGCAGCCGGCCCTGGAGGCCCAGGTACCGAGGTTGGCCATCGCCTGGATGAAGACACCACGGGAGATCAGAAACGGCTCCCATTCCTGTGCGGTGTGTGTGGAATGCACAAAGGCGCCTGCAGGGACGTCTGCATGATACAGGACAGAGAGCAGGCGGCCGGATGCCCTGAAAAGCACAACACTGACCCATGACCTTGAAGACAGGATGCTGATGGTGTCGGAGAGGAGGCAGCCTGGGACAAAGAACACCAGGCCGAAGCTGCTGCACTGGAAACGTGTAGGGGCTGGGGGCTGGATTCCCGCCAGGCGTCCCCTCCAGCCGCACTGGGCACCTCCCATCAGAAGGAAACACGAGGCCTCAGGGGTCTCTGCAGGCTCCGGAGGGAGCGCATTCCACACCCAGGAACATGGTTCCAGCTGGCAGGCGAGATGGCCAAGGCAGCCAGGTCCAGTGGAGCCAGCCCACACGGGGGAGACGACGGGCACCCATCATGGCCCCAAAGTCACGGAATCCTGCGCTTTTGAGGTCTCCTCTCAGGCGGTGGCCTAGGACATGGGGAAGCAGGTCCTGACTGAGGACTTCGGCCAGAGCTGCCCAGCAGGAGGGTGCGTCCACCACCATCAGGGCTGCCTCGGGGACAGTGGCTCCTGAGGGCCCAGTGGCCGGCCCAGGCAGGGTTTGCTCCAGAACTCTTCACGGGGAGCCCACCACAGGCTACTCCGACATGGACACAGCCCCGCCACTGCCCTCCCTGCACAGGTACTGAGGAAGCCCTTGAGAAATCCCTCAACCCCAACTGTCCCATCCCAACCGGCACCATCAGGCGCCTCACAGGGCTGCCGGCCCACAAACACAGGGTTCTAGGGCAGCTCTGACTGGCTGGAGCTTCTAGCTTGGGCACTGTCCTGTGGGGGATTTCTTTGACCAGCCCCTCACTGTTCACCCCGAGTTCCTGCACCCCAACAGGCAGCACCACTGGCTTCACCTGAAATCAGCACAGAAGCCAGTGGATGAGGGAACGCTGTGGCAGGGCTCCGCACGCGGGAGACCGAGCCCCGCCTGCTGCTCAGGAATCCGTGTCTGAGGACGGCGAGACCCAGCTGCCACTGCAGTGCTGCTGGAGGGCCACTGACCCAGCAAGCGGAGGGGCTCGGGGCAGGGCCAGGGCAGCTTCCTGCGGGTGAGCCAGGAGGGTGGCTGGTGTGGCCAGGGCGTGGAGGGGCAACAGTGGCACAGGTCCCCGTGGGCACAGACACCAGGACTCCAGAGATGGGCGTATCGGGGATGCGAGGCCCACATCAGGCTCACTGGGTGCTACGGTTTGGTGTCCCCGTCCGAATCTCCTGTGGAATTTTAACCCCCAGTGTGGGGAGGGGCCTGGCGGGAGATGACTGCATCGTGGGGCAGGATCCCCCTTGCGTCTTCGTGACAGTGAGTTCTCGTGAGATCCGGGTGTTTAAAAGCGCACAGCACCTTCCCTTCGCTCCCTTTGTCCTTCTCCGGACACGTGAAGCCTGCCTGCTTCCCCCTCACCTTCCGCCATGCCTATAAGCTTCCTGAGGCCTCCCAGCCACGCTGCCTGTGCAATCTTCAGAACTGAGTCAATTAAACCTCTTTTCTTTATAAATCACCAGTCTCAGTAGCTGTTTACAGCAATGTGAAAAAGGACCAATATGCTGGGTCTCCCCAGGCACGAACAAAGGAGGGACTCAGGAAGTGAATGGAATTTAAAAGGGATTAGTGGCTGGGGCTGGTGGCTCATGCCTGCAATCTTAGTGCTTTGGGAGGCCAAGGCAGGAGGATCACTGAGACCCCTAACTATTCAAACATTTCAAAACTAACCAGGCATGGCAGTGCGCGCATGCCACAGCACTCCAGCCTACTCGACAGGGCAAGACCCTGTCTCTAAAACAGAAGGGAGCAGTGGCAGTCCCCCCACCTGTGCCTGGAACTGTCTTCTGCACCGTTCAGTGACACTACAGCTCTCATGGCAGCACGCAGTGTGTGGGACCGAGAGGCCTGGAGAAGTAAGTGGTGCCGGTATACTGTGCAGGTGAACTCCGGCTAAGGCCGAGGGGCCGGCCCGATCCAAAGATCCCTGTCCAGGTGAACCTGGGCTCCTCCCCCTGCAGCAGCTCCTGCTCCCACACTGTTTCCGAGACGCCCTTCGCCACAGCCTCGGCAGCGCCTCGCTGGCCCTTCCCTTTCCCCACTCCTGAGTCTATTGGTCCCCCCAAGGCCTCAACCTCAGCCTCCTGGCCTGGGGCATGCCCTGTGCCCACCCCTCCAAACTTCTCCCCTCCTCCCCACTCACCATCTCCTCCTGAAACCTGCCCTGCCTGAGTTGGCTCTGCCCACCTCCCAGGCCCCCGGGCCCTCTGGAGGCCATCTTCATCCTCACCACCTCTGCGGGCACCCAGCCCTCCCTACAGCACGCTCAGCAAGGGCAAATGCAGCCTGGAGCTACTTGGAGCGTGACTCATCTGCAAATTCTCAGTGCTCATGTTTATTTATAAAGTTAATCCTAAAAGCGATTCAGACAATAAATAGTTATAAAGAAGAGCCACTGCCCTCCCCTCCAGGTGTGAGACCTCTTCTAGAGTTCGCCAAGGAGGGTCTGGGAAGGATCCTGGGGTCTCTGCTGTCTCAGTGGCGCCACAGAAGCCACCGAGTTTCCCGCCCTTACTGCAGCACCTGCTCTTCCCGAGGGCTGCGTCTCTCACGATGGAGGCTTCCTGTGGACCCCTAGGTAGCAGCGCCTGGCAGGGCTGGGAGGCGGGCCAAGACTCAGGACCAGCCCCCAAACAGCACCTGGCTGGCCTGGCCAGCCCAGCCCCCGACAACGAAAGGCCGGCGGCTGGGAACCCTGCAGGCCTTCGGCTCCAGTCACCTGAGCTGGCACGGGGCCACACAGCTAGGTGTTCATCACCGCCCTGACGGAGACCTGCAAGGACAGATGAGGCCTAGACAGCGCGGCGCTCATCCCTTCTCACGGCGCACCCAGAGCCCGGCCAGGGAATGGGACGCAGCCCCAGCTCCCCTGGACCTTTGGGACACCACCCGGAGCTCTCACAGGAAGAGTCGAGGCACCTCATGTCCCAGGCAGAGGCTGCGGAGAGACCCTAGGCAGGCAGGTGAGCGGGCTGGGGCTGCGTACGTACCTCCTGGAGGGACTGGCCCAGCACCTCCTGGCTGTGAATGGACGGCCTGCGGGGAGATGGCAGCTCACCACTCCCACACCCCGCAGGCCTGAGGGGCTGCGCGCTCCTGCCCACCCCCCCAAGTCTCTCCCCCCAAGCCCAGACCAGCAGGGAAGGGTCCCCAGGCAGGCAGGACAGCCCTGGTCTGCCAGGACAGATAGGAGCTTGGGGGTGAGGGGCAGGCAGAAGAGACGTGGGGCATGGATGAGCGCTAAGACTCCAGGACCCTAGCCTCCAGCGGGCCACCCAAGTCGCAGGGCCCCACCTGTCAATCTTGATTGCGATGGTCACCGTGAAGGCCCCCTCTGTGTCTGGCAGGTAGGTGGAGGGCACGACCCTGTAGGTGCCTGCAGGCAGGAGGCAGAGCCGGCTCACCTCCTGGGCATAGCGGTGTGGCACGCAGCTCAGCAGTGGCTCCTGCAGCAGCAGCGGGGGCGCGTCTGGGCTCCTGCCACCCTCCGGGACCTGGAGAGGCGCGGGCTCAGACTGAGGGGCTGGCCGAGGGGTAGGGGGCACAGCCCGGGGCTACCTGCTTGGACGCTCTCAGCCCTCCTGAGTCACACATAGCCCCAGACACTGGACGTGCCTCCCAAGCAAGGCCTGACCGCCCCTGCCAGAAGGTGCCGGCAGCAGGGCTCTAGCCTGGAGGCCTGTGGCATCACCAAGGGCTTCATTTAAAAACCTGTGACTGCCCAGCCCGCCCCAAGGGTGCCCTCACTGGCCCCTGGGACGTGTTTTCCTCAGAGCTTTGGGGGACCTGAGCCGGCTGCCTGGGGCACACAGCGAGGCTCCCGGAGTCCCGGCGGCCCACCGTAAACCGAGGGGCACCGTCTGCCTCATCCTGGCCCCGCATTTCAGGGGACACTGGTCGGCGGGGAATGGACCTCGGGACACAGTGGACAAGGGGCCGCCGGCTGGGCCCAGTGACTGTGGACTTCCTAAGACACAGGGGTTGTTGTGGCCGGCCAGCCTGGGCGTCCCCTCCTCTCACCTGAGTCTGTCGGGCTCCCGTGTCCCTAAGCCCAGGGCTCGGCCTCCCGTCCCCTACAAACTTCTCCCTCCTCCCCACTCGCCACCTCCTCCGGAAGCCCGCCCTGCCTGGCTGAGCCCTACCTCCCAGGTCCCCTTGCCCGTGGAGGATGGAGATGGGGGGAGCCCCGTGTGGGTTCCAGGCGGCGGCTCGAAGGGCAGGGGAGCTGGGGCTGCGCACCCACGTGACTGAGCCCAGCGCCCTCGGCCGGAACAACCAAGGCCAAGATGCAAATTCTGAGGGCCCCTCTGTTCCCCTCCCCCCACGGCGAGGAGCTTGCCTGGAAGACATGGAAGCCAATGGGGTGGAACTCCGTGTCGCCGGCCCGGCAGTGCTGATGCAGAGTGATGTGGACGCAGCGGGGGCCGGGGCCCTCGGGGACCAAGAAGGGCAAGCAGGGGTTGGTGGGGTAGGAGACAAAGTTCCTGCTGCCACCTGCCGTGTGGCCGGCTCTCCACGAGCCCCGCAGCTGCACAGTCCCCCACTCCCCTGCAGGCAGGACTGCCCCGAGGGCGGCGTTCTTGGCCACTGCCCTGATGGCACTGCCAGGGAGACAAACATGGGAGGCCGCTGGCGGCAGGTTCCCGGCGGCCTCGGCCCCCACACGGACACCCGCCAGCCCCGAGGGAAGGTGCCCGAACCCTGCCTCGGAGGACAGGCGGCGCTGTGCGGCTCCTCTCACCTGAGGGAGACCCGCCCGGTGGAGAAGACTCGGAGCAGGAACTGCCCAGGTGCGTCCCTCAGGAAGGTGCTGGGGACAGCCAAGTAGTAGCCCGGTGAGAGCTCGCAACGCAGGTGGATCTCCCGGTCGTATGCGTGGCACGCGGTGCCAGCCACAGGGGGCGTAGACAGGACCCTGGGCAGACTGACCCGCCGCTTCTCCACCTGTGAGCATGGGCAGAGGCCCAGTGCAGGGGAGAGGCCAGCCTCAGGCGCTTTGGCCTTCCTGCTCCGAGCACAGCAGCCTCTGGAGGCAGCAGATGACGGTGCCAAGGCCGGTCAGTGCCCCCCACCCTCTCTCAGGGGCCAGCTGGAGATACCCGCCTGTCCAGGGCCGCACTTGGTCCTGGGGCCACCATCTGGAGCCTACAAGTCCTCCCTGTAGGAGGCGCCGTGGCCCAGGCAACCTGGGGGCTGCTGGACAGTGGGCCTTCCAGCACCTTCTTTTGTAAGAGGAAAGGAACCTCAAGGGGCCACATCCGTGAAGGGACAGGCAACAGTGTGGTACCAGGCGTCACACCCATGAGGACACACGAGATTAAAACCCAGCCCCTGAGCACGCGGCCGGCACATCCTCGCCCACACTCAGGCCTCTGTTCCCAGGCGCCCCCATCAGTTCTTCCAGGAAACAGCACGTTTGTGAACCAGGGGCCGAGCCGGCCCGTGTCAGGATGCCGCCTTGCAGGGGAAGAGACTGAGGCGGGCAGGGAGAGGTCACACGCCAGGCTGCAGAGCTGGGACTGGCCCAGGCAGGTCCTCGGCCAGCACTCCGCCTCCACCCCAGGAAGGCATGGCGCTGTCGGGAGCCCTGGGCCCAGCGCCCCGTGGGTCCTGTCCTGGCTGCAGCCTCTTTTGCTTCCTTTGGCCAACGCGGCCCAAGGCCAGGCAGAAAGAAGCCCAAGCTGGCAGTCTCGGGTCATGGCCAGGTCAGGGGGCACCAGCAGGTGCAACCCCGTGCCATGGCCCGAGGAGGGGGAGGCTGGTAGGGCCTGGGGCAGGGTCCCATGTGTCCCGGCAGGACTGCTCCGAGAACCCAGAGCTCCATGGGCCTCCATGCCACATGTGCCACGGAGCGTGAGCCAGGCGGGGCCGAGTTACCTTCCAGATGTGCAGGCCCACAGCCTGGTAGTGCTTGCCCAGGATGCCTGCTGGGCTCCATGAAGTACGACTGTCACCCACCAGCGCCCGCTCCCGGCCTGCCCCGTCCGCCGCATGCATCCGGGATCTCTGCAGGACAGCCACGTGCACCTCGCTCGGCTCTGAGACCCGCAGCCAGAATTTGGGGTTGCTGGGAAAGCCGCTGTTGTTCCGGCAGCCTCCTGCTGACTGCCCCTTGACCCAGGCCCCGGGCAGCACCCGAGTGTGGCAGAGCAGCCTCTCTAGTGAGAGAACACAGGTGTCAGCTAAAGGACACGGCTCCAAGCTGGCCTCCCGCCACTCCAACCCCACAAGCCCTGCGGCCACAGACAGAGCCAGCCCCTCCCACGAGCCCACCCTCCTCCCGGCTCCTGGGACAGAAGCATCCCTCCACACTACAGAGAAGCAAACCGGGCACTGCCTAGCCTCCTCGCCTGGGCAGCAGAGCACACGCCCGCACAGCCCTTGGGGCACTACCTGTGTAGAGGCTCTGCAGGTGGCCAGCCTCCGTGATGGGGTAGCCGACGGTGATCTCATCAAACTCCGTGAGGAACTCCTCCTCCTCCACCCAGAACTCCCCTTCCTGGAGCTGGGACAGGAGCTCAGACGCTACTGCTGCATCCACCTGGCTCCAGCCTTCACCCCTGCAAGAAACCTCAACTCAGCGGAAGCCCCTCCTGAAAACTGGTAGCATTAACTGGCAGGCAGGCTGGGGGGGAGGCTGGAGGGGACCCAGAGAGCCCAGAGATCCTGCCAGCGCCCTCCCGGCCCAGCTCTGCGGCTCCCTGTCCCCGCCACACACTTGAAGCTGCCTGCAGCACAGGCCTTCCGGGCAGCAGCCCCCCACCGGAGCCCTCTCTTTTCCCAAAGGAACTTCGTGCCTCTGAACGCATCTTCCTGGGACTGCCGCCTGAGCTCATGATGATGTCCGCCCTATTGAAACCCCAGGTCGCAGCCCCTGGCCACCTCAGCAGCCATCACAAGCACTGTCTGGGACCAAGAGAAGCATGGCATGGTGTCACAAGAGCAGGGGCTCAGGGGCCTTGCTGGAGACATCCAAGTAATGTCCTAACAGCTGAAGGTGACCAGGACACAGGCCAGGTTGGCACTGGGCCCCCTCCCGAGCGCAGTGAGGCCTCGCCACTCACCCCTCTCTCCAGAGCCCCTGCCAGCACCGCCGGCCCCAGGGGTTCTGGATCCGCAGCAGCAGGACGCTGTGGCCCGCCTGTCCCTGGAGCTCCCGCAGGTCAGACACAATGAAGGCATGGAACTCCCCCAGCTCCCGGACACCTGCGTGAGGAACAGCTTGGGCACAGGCACGAAGGGCACCATGAAGTCCCATATGGACGAGGACATACAGGCCTTCGTCTCCTCCGGACGTGCTCCAGCCCACCTGACTGTGGCAACACAGACCCTCACGGGCCACGGGAGCTCCTTTCCGACAGATCCCCACGGACCACGGGAGCTCCTTTCCTAGTAACTGGCCTGTCAGCTCAGGAGCGTCTCAGAGCAAGCACCGGGGCCCTGACTCGGCTGCCACCCGGGTCCGGTGCTGGGTAAGTCAGCCCTCCTCTAGGTCTGTCATCGCCCATACCCATCAGTGCCCGATGCCTAGCACAGTGCCACTTCTCAAACACGCCGCACAGATGCATCTGCAACTGTCAAGAACCCAGGGAGTACTCCTCTCGGCAAAGCCCATGGCAGGCAGGCATCCGGATACTGCCCTGACTAGGAGCACAGGAGGGACGGGGGCCTGGGGGGATGACAGCTCCACCTGGCCGGAGACCTTGAGACAGACGGGCACAGAAAAGAAAGAGCCAAACAGAGCAGGTGCCGCATCTGTGGCAGGCAATGGTCTAGAGAGGAGGGGCTCCCGGAAGGACTCGGGTCCCGCCCATGCCGCGGCCCTTGGCCACCTTGGCAGGCTCCGGTGCACCTCTAGCCAGCGCCAGCTGCCACGTCTCTGCCTGGGGCTTTCTCCAAAGCCTGAAGTGCTAGGACTTAGCCCTCCCCACCCTGGAGCAGCCTGAAACCAACAGCTCCCCAAGCTGATGTTCAAGAGACCAGTGCCCTCACTCCCAGGTGGAAGGCTCAGAGGCCAGGGTCCGGCCTGGGCCCCAGCGGGGCGGACAGGGAGTGCGTGCCCTCCAGGCCTCCGAACCTCTCAACGTGCTCCTGAACCCCATCTAGGGTCTGCTTGTGGGGGGCCCAGACCAAGGCCTATGCCAACTTATTTCACTTTATTGTGATATTCATATTCTTTAACCAGTATTTTAAATGCTCCTAAATATTTAAAAAACGGTAAAGATGTTCATTGATGTTATTTATAATTATATAGAACCAGAAAGACCTTAAGATCCAACATCAGGGGAACGATCAAGAGACTGTGGCAAACCCGCTCACGGAGCGAGCGCACAGATGGCGCGTGTGGCGGTGTGAGAAGCGGGTGCAGGACGGAGCGTGTCCGTGGCACGGGCTCCGGAAGACTGAGAGCACTGGAGTCACAGCGGGCAGATCTGAGGGCTTTTGTGCTTCATCTTTTGTGAAATGGGATCTTGCTATGTTGCCCAGGCGGATCTCCTGAACTCCTGGGCTCCAGTGATACTCCCACATCGGCCTCCCGAAGTTTTGGGATTACAGGTGTGAGCCACCACCCCAGCCCCTTTCTTTTCTTGTAAACAAACTGTCTTCAATGAACGTACGTCCATCACTAAAGTAAAACGGGCTTTGATTTTGCTTGGTTCCCAGCTGGCCAGCGACAGCACAGACGACGGTCTCTGACTCGGCGCCCCTGCTTCTTGCCTCAGGCCAGCCGGAGGGACCAGGCAGGGAGTAAAGCGCCCCGTCCCTCCGGAAGAGGACAGCAGGGGAAGGTCACAAGCCCGGGACACCACCCTTGAGAACAAGCTTCCTTCTCCCCACTCTGTCCTGGCAGGACTGTGTAGCCAGTCACACAAAAAGCCACAGTGCGCCGGAGCCCTGGCGGTCGGGGCCACGTGCCTCACCTGCTCGGGGGCTGAGCACGGAGCAGCTGATGAGACACCGGTCCTTCAAGGGGAGCAGCTGCCGGCATGTCCTGTGCTCTCCGGGGCCTTTGCTTCCTGCGATGCCCTTCAGGCTCCATCTTTCTGCCAGGCCGCCAGTCAGGTCCACCAGGGCATCCGCCACCTGCCCTGCCCACAAGTGCTCGTAGGACCCGTGGACCCTAGGGGACACAGTCACCATGGAAGCGAGCTCTGGCATCGGACGCGGCCACCCCGCCTCCCACGGTCCGCAACACCCCGAGTCGTCTGGCCGCCCTCAGTCACACCTCTATTCCCCTCTGCGCATTCCTCCTCATCCTCACCAAGCCAAGGCGTGGCCTCACCTTCAAACACCTTACTTCACAGCGAACCTGAGTGCCCCTCACATAAAGAAACTCTCCGGCCTCCGGTGTGGGCACAGGAGCAGGGCAGGAGGGACGGAGGCTACGATGCCCATGCTCCTGGGCGCTCAAGCTCCAGCCCTGCTTTTCCAAAACCAGCCCTTGGGACGGAAGGGCTCACTGGTGCTGTCACTGGCTGGCCTTCCCGTGTCCGCCAGCTGCCCTGCCTGCCTGTTGGCCCAGTTGCCTTTGCCAAGATGATAAGTGCATTCTAAGAGGAAAGGCCATTCAACTACGATTCACGGTGAGGGCCTGGTCCCCGAGCCGGCACCGCCACACAGAAGTGCTGCTACGTCGGGGTGGCCTCCCTTCTCCCCAGCAACTACACAGCGGGGTCGCCTGTCCCGACCATCCAACAACAGAAGGAAGCGTCTCTCTTGCCGGGCCGAGAATGCAAGGAAGCCGGCGCACACGCTGTCCGTGGAGGACACCCCCGTGCTGGGCTTTGGAGCCAGGGAAGGGAAGGAGTGCGCCAACCACAGGCCTCGGAGGAGAATCTCTGCATCTGGCCAGCCTGCCCGACTCACAGGACGAGGCCCTCAGAACCGAAGGGGGCTCTGTAACCCAGAGTGAGCGCAGACCCTCCCGGGGCAGCCCGTGGTGGCAGCAGCTCCCACTTGCCCCAGACCAGGCCCTTCGGCCCCCAGCACACGCACTTGGCATAGACCTTTTCCAGTAAGGGGAGCCAGAACACATCCTCCCTCTGGCAGCGGGAGAAACAGAGTCTCCCTGCAAGGCACGGCAGGCGGTCGTCTGTGGTCACCTCCACCCAGCGTCCAAACTGCCAGATGCGACATGTGAAGGAGCCCCGGTACTCCTGGTCGGCCCAGCTCGGCTGTCCCGGAGGAATGACCTGGGCATGCACAGGGAGAAGCAAAGGCAGGCATCACATCAGCATCGCCCGGTACAGCTCCGGCGTCCCGGCCACAGTGTGGCCACAGCTGAGCACTCTGCAGGCACCACGCTCTGCAGAGAACTCTGTGGCACATCCAGATGTTGGCGCAGTGCACCGGGCTTGAGCACCACACACAAGGTTAACAGACCACTCACTGCCATGCTTGAGGACCACACCAAGGGAGCCGCGTACCCCAGGACACGGTCTGCTGCCCTCACTAAAAGCACCTGACCTGAAGCCAAAACAATGTGACTTTCAAGGGCATAAGTGACCCTGTTCCTGACTGAGCTGGCTGCAAGCAACATGGCACCACAGGAATGGCAGCCCCTCTGCTGCTGGGAGCCTGGTGCCCCCACACTGGGCCAACTGCCTGCACCCCCACGTCCACAAAGGGGCTCCTTCAGGAGTAAGCATTCTGACCCAGCGTCACGGGGAGTGCAGGCCAGGCACCACCTCCCCTGACACTGGTACGGTCCTGGCTCCACCACTTACTGGCCAGAAACACAATGGTAGTGGTTTCAGGGCTCTTGTTTGTTTAAAAAGAAAGAAACAAGAGTCAAAGCAGGCAAGGCTATGACACTGTTTCGGGGACCGTGATATGCTTAGCATGGGGCCTAGGAATGAGTGAAACACCAAGTGAGGTCACCACTGTCAAAGCCGCTGCATTAATCTGCAACGCTCAGCGACGAGCCAAGCAAAAAACTGTGAAGACTCCTAGGTAAGGCAAACCTGAGAAGGCCTTCTCCGCCCAGAGGATCTGTCTACCAGCAGAGCCAGGTTTAATCGTCTTTTGCAAATGCTGTAAGAAAGCCAGGCAGCTAGCTCATGAGAGATCTGGGGCAGAGGCCCCCAGCCACCTGTCCTCCTGTGAGCTGGCACATTTGTCTCTTTACTCTAAATGTGCTGCTCTGACTCCACAGAGAGCCCAGGGCTCAGGAGGGCAGAGAGCAGGGCCAGCACCGCCCTGATGGAGCCCTCTGGCGGGGCCAAGGCCCCCCGCCCCCTGCAGCAGAGGGCCAGAGTGCAGTCCTCAGTCTCTGCCTCAGAACGCTCCTGTCTTTCCCCAACACAGCGAGAGATCCATGCCGCACGGGTCTGTTTCACGAGGGCTCCCCGTGCTCAGCAGCCAGGAGAATTGCGCAGAAGAGAAACCGGCACCAGGACAAACAGGGAAGCAGGGGCCCCCACCTGGTCCAGGAGGTGCCTGCTCTTCTGCAGGGCGGCACAAGCACACAGGAACCAGCAATCCCCCAGCAATCCTTGCTTCACCTGCCCTTCCTGCGGGTCATCTGGAAACAGCCGGGGCGTGGCACAGATCTCCTGAAATAAAGAAAGTTGTCCAGAGTTAGATCATGCCTGCTGGGGAATCCTCCAAACTAAGAACCCAGGGATTTAGGTGAAGGTTGGGTAGAGCTTTTCCGATCATCACTGTAGCCCAGAAGGGGACAGGGAGGTGGTTTCCTGTGGTGGGTGTTCTTCAGCTCCTGGCTTCAAATCCCCCTGCCCAGCTTAATTGTGGGTGGCCTGTCTCTGTCTTCCTTCCTTACCGGAAAAATCGCAAACTCTCCCAAGCTCCTTCTCAAAACAGCAAAATGTTGGTTTAGAAAAGTTTCACTTCATTCATGCTGGCAGATCTCAAATGCGTCCTCCACCCTGCTGGAAATCTTCCTGTTTCTCTAGCAGGCTCCATTTCCCACATCCCCAAACTATCACAGACCTTCCCCTTTCTCCCTGTCTTCTCAAAGCATCCACACTCCCCTTGCCCGCCCCTCTGAGCTGCCAACCTTGCCTCCTGCTTCTGGACCCGACCCTATCTCCTGCCCTCTGGCCACCTCAGAGCCTGGACTCCTTCCTTTCCACCTCCCGGGGCAGAGTCCCAGCAGCATGAAGATGGGAGAGAGGCTGCCGTGTTCTTTAAGACATTACCCCTCAGCACCACAGTCTCCTTCAGGCTTCTCCTCATTACAGCCTCTGAGAAAGCGCCGTGACGCCCACTGCTGCTTCCCATTCGCTCTCCACACAGGCTCTCCAGCTTCTGAGCCAGTTATGCCCCCTGAACTGCCTCTATCAGTGTCACTGTCGTCTCTGTTACCAAACCCATTGGGCTTCTCTTGGTCCCAACTCTCCCAGCTACTCAGCAGCATTCAGAACAGCTGCCGTCTGCTACCCCGGGGTGGTCCCCACTCAGCTCCATGAGGCTTCATGTCCCTGGGTGTCCTCTCCCTCACTGCCTGCTGCTTCTCAAGTGTATCTGTCAGGGAACCTGCCTGACCTCAAGAAATGTTAGGGCTCTTCAAGGCTCAATCCGAAGGCCCCCTTCTTCTTTACTGATACTCCCCAGAGATACTCTGCCAGGCTGTGGACCATAAACCATTTAATATGCTCCTCCTCCCAGATGAATACCTCTAGCCCAGATCTCCCTACTCTGCAGACACCTGCCTCCAGGACAGCTCCACCTGAACACCTGAGAGCAAAGCCCAACTCTAGGTCACCCCAGGCTCTGTCTCAGGACCACCATCTACCCACTTGCTCAGGCCAGACACCTAGAGGGCATGTTGCTTCCTCCACTATCCTCACCCTCTGCTTCAATCAGTCTAGTGATTAGTAGGCCTCTCAATCCCCGCTGCAAAGTAGGTCTCAAACCACTCTACTCCAAATCCCCATCCTAATGGTCGTCACGCTAATCTGGCCCCCCTTCGTCTTGCTCCAGGACCACTGCGATGGCCCCTTGCATTCTTGCCCCGACAATCCACTTCCCACCCAGCAGCAAGAGTGAGCTTCTAAAACACACATCTAGAAGAATCACTCCTCTACCAAACCCTCTAGTGGCCTCTAACTGCACCTAAAAATCAACCTTTTAACAAAATAAGACCCAAATTCCGATGACAAGGCTCTACAAGCTCTGACCTTGCCTCCACCCCAGCCCTTCCGTGTTGCCCAAGAAACCAGGCGGCCTGTCCAAGCCAGCTCAGTCACCAGAGCCCGGAGGCTCCAGCTGCGTTCGAGGGCGGGTGCCGCCAGCTGTCATCCACTCAGGGAAGGCTGCTCCCTGGGCAGTCTCACCCAGCAGACAGACCATTTCTGAAAACAAGAATACGGCGCTCGGCCAGGGCATCCCTTGGAGTTGCCCTTTTTGAGCGTTTACAGCTGGAAAGGCAGGTGCAAAAAGTCCCGAAACTGAGATTCTCTCACACTTCGCTTTGTGGCTCGGTCTAGACACTCCAGAGGGGCACGGGCGGCCCTCCGCCGGGAGGAGCCGACACAGACGCGCTCCAGGACGGAGGCGCACAGGTGGGGCCGGGGCCGGGGCCGGGGCTCTGCTGAACGCCTCTGGCTGCGCTCCGAGCATCCCTCCGGACCGGAGCTCTCGCAGGTGGGGACCAGGGTCTCGCCCCGTGTCCCCGGGGCACCGCGGAGCCCTGCTCGTTCTGCGCGGGCGTGGGAAGGAGCCACGAAAGAGGGGGCCGGGCGCCCCCTTCCGGGGAGGGAACTGCGGGGCCTGCGCTCGGGGCAACCCCGGCCGCCCGCCCCGGCCGGCTCGCTCGAGGAGCGGCGCTCTCGGAAGCCAGAAGCCCCCCGCCGCACCTGGGGCCGCCTCCACGTGATGTCCTCGCGGAACTGGGCCAGCGGCGTGGACAAGTCGCAGAAGAGCGAGGAGTCCGCGGCGGGGAAGGCGGCGTCCCGGAACAGCTCCCGAGCCAGCGTCGCGCCGCAGCCCGCCCGCATCCTCGGCTCCGCGGGCTCCCATCTGCAGCCGGCAGCCTCGGGGTCGCAGCCCCGGAGAGAAGGCGAGGCCGGTCCCGCCCACTCGCCGCCCGGCCCAGCCCTCCAAGCCCGAGGGCCCCGCAGGTGCCGGGCCAGGCCAGGACGCCGGACCTCAGTCGCCCATAGGTAACCAGGCGGCAGCCAATCGGGCGCGGCGCTTCGGGGCACGTGACATCGCGGCCCAATCGCACTCGGGCGACGGAAAGCGCCACGGACTTCTGAGGCTCAGGAGGCGGGGCTCCCGAGCTCAGCTCTCGCGATGCCGGGCTGCTGTCCGCGCTGAATTTTTCCTTCCGGGGGTCACGGAGTCGTGCACTGTCCCGACCTCCGCCGCTCATACCCGGAGGGCCGGCTGGCGTTTAGTCGTCGAGCCGGTGAGGTTAGGGCCGCGGCGTCGGGACCGCCTGCACACGCGGGCTCTGGGAACGTCAGGGACCAGGGAGCCACGTTGGCCGAGTGGCGCCGCAGACTACAGCTCCCAGCATGCAGCGCCACTCCCAGCATGCACCTCCCTCCCGAGACGCTCTCTGCTTCCGGCGCTCTGCTGCGGAGGCGGCGGCCGCGGGTTTTTGCGGGGCACGGAGAGCTGCGCTTGGGAGGGCGACTTGCGAGCGCTGCGGCGTCGTTGTCCGGCGGGGGAGAGGAGGCCTTCACCCCTTTGCCACCTAATAGGGCTTTTCATCCCGCCGGGCCCCCGGGGTTAGGAGCCCAGCAGGCTCAGCGCCTTGCTGTGAGTGTGGAGAAGAGCGTGAGGCGTGTTCGGGAGGCCTGGGACGTAAGACGGCCCGGAGGGAGCCGCTTGGGGGAGCGGCGTCGCAGGGGTCGGACCTTCGGGGCCTGGGCTTCGTTTCCAGGCGTTTGGGTCGAACGCTTCGCATCCTAACTAGGGGCGGGGAGGAGGCCGGAGCGTCCCGCTGAGCGTCTTCCTGTTCCGCAGAGGGCCGGGCACCCGGTCCTGGTGGCCGGACGGTGACCCCGTGGACCCACGTTTTGCAGCTGTAGCCGCCGAGTGCGGCGGCGTGGTGAGGGTCGTATCCTGGGACTGCTCGAGGATTCACCCTTGCTGCCAGAACCTGTTCCCTTTTCGGGAACGAAGGTGGTCGGGCAGGGGAGGAGAACGGGGCCTCACCCCTCTAGTGACAGCAGTTTGCCACCTCTTAGAGCTTTTCAGATTTTGCCGCCTCAGGCCATTTTACCCAGCCTCGGGCTATGAAGGATGGTCACATTGAAGGTATTTTTCTGCAGTCAGAAGTGAAAAGTTCCTACTATTGAAGGAGAAACTGAATCTGGTTCAGGAGTCCCGGGTTCCTCCCTCTGAGAGGCCAGGTGGGGCCTGTGCGAGGAGCAGTTGTACAGGTGATTGTACACTGCTGTTTTCATCCCGCCAGGCCCCCGATTAGGGGCCCAGAGTGCTTATCTCCTTACTAAAGTCTGGAAAACGGAGTGACCCCATAGCGCAGCACCTGTGGGATGCTTCATTGCCCATTAATCACCCCTGTGATGCTGATTCTTCCAGAAGATGTTTCTGATTCCTTGCTGGGCTGGTGGTTGCACCGTAGCCAAGAGGACTCGAGAAGAGTCTGTTCTCTGCTTCACCTAGGGGTCCCGGAGAAGTAAGAACCACCTATCTTCCCTGTCCTGGGTACTTGGCTGCTGGTTTGCCTAGGCGCCACGTATGGGCGGGTAGCAGAGCTGAGGCTGGCCCAGTATCCCGACTCTCCTTGGAAGCCTGTGTTGTGACATTCTCCCAGGCTGATAAAATCTGCAGAGCTAACGGCTTCCTGCAGCCAGGTCTGTGTCCAAGGCTGGGCCCATTCCCGTAGCCAGATTCCCAGGATCTGGAAGGGCCAAGAGACGGCTGGTGCCAGGTAGGCAGCAGCCCCGCGTCAGCACGCCCTCCCCACACCCCCGCCAGCGTCCCATGCTGTGACTTGCCTGTGTGGTCTGCCCCCGCCCAAACCGGTATTGGAATTTGATCGCCAATGTGGCAGTGTTGGGAGGTGGTGTGTAGTAGGAGGAGTTTGGGTAATAGGGTGGATCCCTCGAAGAGATGAGTACCCTGTGTGGAGGGGTGAGCCCCCATGAGAGCTGGTGAGAGGCAGCGTTCCTGCAGTTGTGTCGCTTCCTCTGGCATCACGCTGCCATGCGATCTCCACGCATGCCCGTCCCCTTCCATTTGTTGCCATGAGTTGAAGTAGCATGAGGCCCTCAGCACTTGCGGCTGCCCAATCTTGAAATTTCCACCAGAATTTTGTGCCAAATAAACCCGTTTTGCTTTTTTCTAAACAACTACTCAACCTCAGGTGTAGCAACATGAAACAGACTAAGACGTTACGGACTGTGGTCCCATCCATTTCCCCAGGATGCAGAGGTGCTCCCTCAGCCAGGAAGGACGACATTCCCCTCTGGCCCCTGGGGTATCTGGGGTGGGGGGATGAGAAGGGGGTTGGAGGGCAGCTGGTTCATGACCCCAGCCACGGCAACTGCAGGTTCTTGGTCTGAAGTGCTGTGATTAAGGCATCACGGCCCCAGGGCCCTCGCCAAAGGAGGGAACGCCATCAGTGTTTGAGGGTTATAGGAAGATGAGGGGCCTTCAGGCATGACTAGTTCCCACCATGACCCCACTGCCGGCCAGTGCACTGAAATACATGTGACCACTTGTTTCTCAAGTTCATGGGTGTTGAGGAGCCCTGTGAAATCAGCCCTATCTCATCCTGCTGCCCGTCTTGTTCTGCAGGGAAATGTTCCCTGGCTTCCTCACCAGGGATCTCCTCTGAGCTTTACATCTCTGTTCAGGGGGCAATAACTGTGCTGGTCATTGCATTCTCATGGCGATACAGAGATTAAAATTCAGTATCTTGTCCACATACTGCCCAGAGTTAGCAAGGATGGCTCTTCTGTGCATTTGTCTCAGGTCAGGTACAGTGGGAGTTGGGTCCTTCTCCCTTTTCCTAACCTAAAGGTTCCAGCTGAAGGAATCTTCCCAGGCAAGGCTGAAACAGGAACCGTTTTGGTATTTGCTGCCACCCATGGTCAGTTCTCTGAGAAGAGTGAAGAGGGTCCCACCTGGGGCAGCCCGCAGCGGCTCAAAGGGCTAAAACCCTTGGATGACCGGTTGAGACGCTGAGTTTGTGGTCCTCACGCCTATCAGCAGTAGACATTTCTGCCTCATTTTATCAACGAGGAACCTGAGCTTCAGAGGGCAGCGGTGACAGCTCAGGACCACACAGCTGTAGGTAGTGAGGCAGGAAGGTGGGGTCTGGGTTCGGGGATGTCGGCCGATGTACGCTGCAGTTATGACGGGAAATCCCTTCTCCACGGGGCGGAGGCCAAAAAAAGGACTCGGTGACTTGACTTCATCATCTCCGTCTTCACAGGGTGTACCCCAAGTAAGCAGTGGAATCCTCTAGCGGGCATTTTAGGCCCCAAAATCTATAACAGGGCATTTATATGCACTATGCACAGGCCTGCCCCCACACTGGGGTGTACTTCCATTTTCAATAAATCCCTTCATTCCTCCTGTGCTGTGTGTGCGTGTTTTGTCCAGTTCTTTGTTCAAAATGTCAAGAACCTGGACGTCCCCCGCTGGTAACAGGACACATCAGCGCCTTAGGTGGGGGCAGCCAGTGTAAAGCCAGGCTGACCTCAGCCCACTTCGTCACTGCAACACGAGGAATGGGTTCTTTGTTGGCAATGGTTTAGATCGAGCTTTTTTCCCATCATACGTATAATACATGCTCAGTAAACCAAACTGGGAACAAATAAATATGCCCCGTGTAGGAATTCTTTGCCTGTTGGTGTGAAGTGGTTGTGTGCTCTTCAGTTTTCTTACGAGTGTGATGCAGAGAATTTCCCCAGCGGACTGGCCCTCCGAGGTGAGCGTATTCAGATGTGGGCGATTTTCTGCATTGTGGGTGTTGTTTCCTCCACACTTTGGAATTTTTTTTTTGTTAGCTCATTCATTCATTTGGAACAAGGAGAGGTTTATCTGGGCCTGGCTGGCCGGGCGGGTGGGCGGTGGTGGTCTTAGCGCTCTGCCTGTGCCTGTCAAAAGCCCCTCAGAGCTGTGCTGGGCCTGGCCACTCTGTGGACACCCTTGCCAAGCTCCACTTTTAGCTGGTGTGTCCCTGCTTTTGGGCTTCTGTCTGACCAGGTGATTATTCAGAGAGATGGTGGGAAGGTGGGGGGCGGTGGGGGGAGGAGGTTAACAGCTGACATCAGATTCCTTTTAGTAAAAGAACAGTCTGATGTATGCCCAATCATTAAGCCTGTAGATGACCTCACAAAAAAAAAAAAAAAAAACCAAAAAAAAAAACCAACTTAGGGAAATGAGCTTGGTGGGTGCTTCGGTTAGGGCCCTGAGGGCATGGCTACTTGAGGTGGCTTAGCTTGCTAGGTGGCAGGTCTGATGAGGAGGGAAGAGAGATTGTGGGGAGAAAACGGCTGAAGAAATGAGAGTGAGTTGCAGGGTTGGGGGGATGCAGATGGGGGGCCCTGGAGTGTAGAATGCAGGCCGTGTCGAGAATGAGGATGCCTCGATGGATCGAAACTTTTTTTCTTTACTCTCCACAACCTAATATCCCCAAGTTTATTTTCTGTTGCTGTAACAATAACAGACTGGGAAATTTATAATGAAAATAAATGTATTTCTTACCGTTCTGGAGGCTGAGAAGTCCAAGGTTAAGGGGCTGGAATCTGGTGAAGGACTTCTTGCCACGTAAGTTGTTGGAAACGGGTTTAAAACGTTGGGAAAACCCACAGTGAGACGGGACCACTCAGCAAGGCTGGTCTTCCCGCAGGAAGGGTGCAGCTCGCCAGCAGTCTTGCCGGGAGAGCGCCCCTGAACAAGGGGACAGGGACGTTTATGACAACTCCTGTAACCCGACACAGTCGCCCTACTGCCGGGTCCAATTTCCATTGGCCAGAACGGGACCTCACACTCCATGCTTGACCCGATTGGCTAAAAACGTGAACGTTTTCGAGGTGAAGGCCAACGAGGAGAACAGGAAGAGGAAGTCACGCGAGGAAGGTTTAGAGAGGCGATGGCTTTTCCAAATACGGCAGGGGAGCAGCTTTGACCAGCCCAGGCATGTCCGGGCAGACGTCTAGGTTAAAGTTTAAGAACTAAGAACAGGGGATGCACTGACTTCTTTTATTAGGACTAACAGCTACTTTCTTAGCAAAAGCTTGAAAATAAATTAACCTCTGAAGAAACCGTTATTTATTCCTAATGAACGACGAGGAAAGCTTTGAAGAGGAACCTTTTATTTATTCTTATTTCCCACTTCATTCCGTGGTGGAAGACGGAGGAGCAGGACGACACACAGGGAGAGGCGGCTAAACTCGTTTTCGCGACCCGGGCTCCTGAGCGCGCACCCAGACAGTGACGTGAATCTGTTCGGGAAGGCGGGGCCCTTCTGGCCTGATCACTTCTTAACGGTTCCGCCTCTGAGACCATCGCAGTGGCAATTAAATTTCAACGTGAATTTTGGAGGAAACTTCAAACCATAGCACTGTTCCACTGAGTTTACATTTTTTTTTTTTTTTAGCAATTGCTTTTTAAAACATTTCCTGGGTCTCCGGCTGGTTCATTTTTAGAAACTACCTGTCCTTGTTTCACAAGCACGTCTCCCTGTGTTACGGTTTATTTCAAAGGCCCCTTAGGTCTGAGATTCTGATGATGTGTGTTCTAGAGTCCTCTTCTGATCGCCTGTGCTGCCTCTTCTCGGGTGTGACGGCTGAGTGGCCTGTTCTCCTTCCCACTGCTGTGGCAGGTGACTGTCAACTATGCCTTGCCTTTATACCTGGAGTCCCCTAGTGTCCTATGCAAAGCACCTGGCCTCAGGGGAGAAGCACCAGCACCAAGTCCCAGTTAGAGCAGGGATGGCAGAGGGGCCCGCCAGGAGAGTTAGAGCAGGGATGGCAGAGGGACCCTCCAGGAGAGTTAGAGCAGGGATGGCAGAGGGACCCTCCAGGAGAGTTAGAGCAGGGATGGCAGAGGGGCCCGCCAGGAGAGTTAGAGCAGGGATGGCAGAGGGACCCTCCAGGAGAGTTAGAGCAGGGATGGCAGAGGGACCCTCCAGGAGAGTTAGAGCAGGGATGGCGGAGGGACCCGCCAGGAGAGTTAGCGCAGGGATGGCGGAGGGACCCTCCAGGAGAGTTAGAGCAGGGATGGCGGAGGGACCCTCCAGGAGAGTTAGAGCAGGGATGGCGGAGGGGCCCTCCAGGAGAGTTAGATCAGGGATGGCAGAGGGACCCTCCAGGAGAGTTAGAGCAGGGATGGCAGAGGGGCCCTCCAGGAGAGTTAGAGCAGGGATGGCAGAGGGGCCCTCCAGGAGAGTTAGATCAGGGATGGCAGAGGGACCCTCCAGGAGAGTTAGAGCAGGGATGGCAGAGGGACCCTCCAGGAGAGTTAGAGCAGGGATGGCAGAGGGACCCGCCAGGAGAGTTAGAGCAGGGATGGCAGAGGGACCCTCCAGGAGAGTTAGAGCAGGGATGGCGGAGGGGCCCTCCAGGAGAGTTAGATCAGGGATGGCAGAGGGACCCTCCAGGAGAGTTAGAGCAGGGATGGCAGAGGGACCCTCCAGGAGAGTTAGAGCAGGGATGGCAGAGGGACCCTCCAGGAGAGTTAGAGCAGGGATGGCAGAGGGACCCGCCAGGAGAGTTAGAGCAGGGATGGCAGAGGGACCCTCCAGGAGAGTTAGAGCAGGGATGGCAGAGGGACCCTCCAGGAGAGTTAGATCAGGGATGGCAGAGGGACCCTCCAGGAGAGTTAGCGCAGGGATGGCAGAGGGACCCTCCAGGAGAGTTAGCGCAGGGATGGCGGAGGGACCCGCCAGGAGACCAGTCGCTGCTCAGCCATGGCCTGAGGGATTTGGAAAACCTTATCTGGACCTTGAGGGCTGAGGGATTTGCATGGGTCTCCCTCACACTGTTGCCTCAGGCTTGAGCCCTCGAGTGTAGAAGCCAGTCTTTCATCAGCTGCTTTTCTGTTTTTGAACATCATCCCCCCCCCCACCTGCCTGGCAAGTGCCTAGTCCCCCAGGTACAGAGCTCATGGCTCTCAGCTTCCGGCCTCAGCTCCATCATCGTCATTAGTGCCATTTGCCATATACCCCGACTTCTGTGCGTGTTGGAGCTGCAGCTCTGTGGCTGTGGGTCCTGCAGAGTTTCCACTGCCCTTGTGAGCCCCTCAACAGCTCTTATCCCCAGCAAGGTGCCTGGAAACATTCAAGATCTCTATTCCATTGGTTCAGGTCCGCAGTCAGTCACCCTGAAGAGAAGCTGCCCTTCCCCGCCAGCCTGAGGTGGGCTGCAGCCTGAGGAATAGAGCTGCTGTTTGAGACGTCTGTGCTCCGTAGCCGTCTGCCTGGAGCGTCTCTGGGCCTTAGAGAGAAGCTGGCCGCTCAAAGAGGGGCGTGCTAACAGCACACGTGACCTGCCGGGATTTGGAATGTTGGCAAGCTGTCAGGTGGTGGCAAAACACTTGGGAAAGCTCCACTGTGCTGACTCACGAGGCAGATGGCGAGCTAAATGAGTGTACGTGTCTAGTGGACGAGGCTGGGAAACAGGCTGCCCAGAGTGTTGGCAGGGGCTGCGTCTCACAAGGGACTGGGAAGCGGTGAGCTGGAACAGAATTCTGCATCTGAAGCTGGGAGGAGAAGGAATGAAGGCCAGAGCTGCAAGGACTCAGGTGGCATGCCCTCCGTGCATGGGCGGGGACAGAGCCAGGACAGATGGTGGCGAGGGTGCCACCTGTGTCCAGATGCCCTCCTCCCCCCGGGGCTGTGGCGCTGGGTGCTGCTGCCGAGCTTCCCAAAGGCGGTGTCGGGCAGAGGTGTGCATCTCAGCAGCGTCTGGAGGTGGCACTGTGGGCGTGGCTGCGGGCACCTCGGGTGGAGTCACCGCAGACCACTGTCATTTCAAGCTGAATTGCCAAAGAAAGAAGAGCCCGGGATGAAAGTGTGATTGTGGAGACTTGAAAACAACCTTGGCAGGGCAGAGGCAGAGGGAGCAGTTCTGCCACTGAGGAGGCTCCTCTGAGGCCACCATCGAGCATGGCCAGTGACACGGGAGGGGCCTCCCAGGGCCAGAGCCCCGGGCCACAGAGAGCACCACTCGGGGAGCGGCCGCCCACTCCCGGGCAGGGGCCCTGCTGTGCCTGCCGGGCAAGACTTCAGGTGGCCATGGGGCGGGGGCTGCCGGGTGCCCTCCACACCCCCTCTCACAGGGTCACTACAGTCGTCCTATCCCTGTGCCCTGCTGGGTGTGAGGGGCAGTGATGGTCTTTTAGTTCCTGGGTCTCCAGATGGGGTGGCCCCTCCCTCATGCCTGATGTGAGGAAGGCACATGAAACTGCACGTGTAGAGCTGGCCCAGTCCTAGACAGGAGCTGCCACCGCCACAGGAGGCCCATCTGCCCGGGGGAGGGGTGAGCACCCAGAACATGGAGGAGGGTGAATGGGGCACGTGGGGGCTGGGGACTGGGCGGTGGCGCCACCAGGGTTTTCTGCCCCCCACCTCCTGCCTTCCCCACTTCCTGGCCGCCACGTGTGGCGTGGAGCTGGGGCTGGGCCTGGCCAGGGGGTTGCGGGGAGACGTGATGCTTTGGGGCCATGGCACGTTGCCCAGGTGCATGTGGCACTGAGATGGGGGCGCGGCACATCCGTGGGGTCCCTGAAGAGCAGTGACACCTACCACCTGGGAAATGGGAAATCTCGATCCTCCAAAAGCAAACATGCCTGTCACCCTGTGCCCATCGTGGGACAGTATCACCACTGAGGCTGCGGTGTGGCTACAGCCACAGAGGTGAAGGTCCAGCGTGAAGGTGACACATGGCCTCCTGTGACATCCAGAGGAGGCTGCTCACGACCAGGAGGTCCAGCCAAGGGGCTGGGCAGGGTTCGAGGAGCCTGCTTTCGGGCCCATGTATCAGGCGGGGCTGCGGCCGGCTCCTGACCAGCTCCAAGCCCCAAGTCCTGGTGGGCCAGCCTGTCCTGCACAGCCGGGACCAGCTATGGACCAGACGCGGAGGACAAGAGCCGGGAGAAAGAGGAGGGCGGTCAGCTTTGCAGACTGGAAGTTTAATGGGACCATCAGCGTGATACCCCACTGCAGCATCCCCGGCTGGAGGCCCCAGGCCCTGGCTGCCTCTCCCAGCATGGTGGGTCGAGAGAGCACCAGCACCACCTCCCACCTTCCCTGGGTATTACTTTGCCCATGTGCCTCCCGCCATCAGGAAGCCACAAGAGACAGGCCGTCCTGTCCCCACACTCCCCCTGGGTCCTGGGACTCCTTGTTCTGAGGGGCTGAGGTTGTCTGGGACCCAGGGACCCTCCCCAGGGACATGCATCCTCTGTGCAACCTGCCCCCACACCGAGGGAATGTCTGTGTCCTTGTCCCTGTGCCGGGGCCATGTGAGGCTGCCCACCCCAGGGGCGGGATGCAGGGCTCTGCGGGGAGGTGGCTCAGATCCCTGTGAGGAGGCGTGCTGCGGGGACGGCGCAGCCTGGGCCATGGCAGACGTAAGGCACAGTGTGGCGGTCACCATGTGGCTGCTGGAGCCCTTGCCCTGGGGCAGCCCCTAGCAGGTGCTGGCATCCAAGGCTAGGCACCGCTGTCAGTGTTGAGACAGGAGGCATGGCGTGTGCGGGCTGGCCCCAGAGCCTGCAGTGCAAGAGCTGGGAGTGGGGAGGCCCACAGGTCTCCGCCAGATACAGGGAGGGCCCTCCCCCACTCTCCCTGCCTGGGAGAGCCCAGGGGTGGGGCTTGTGGGCCTGGGCAGAGCTCATGGCCGGAGCCGAGGCGCAGTCATGGCAGGCCGGGCCCACAGAAGGCACAATTGTGGTGTCTGGGAGGTCGAGGGTCAGCCCGCCGACGGGGCTAGGCAGACACGTTGACGTCCCTGAGAGAGATGGCACTACTGGGGGCCTCGTCCCCGAGCAGCAGGGCCTGTGCGTCCGAGTGCGCGTCTGCGGCAGCCCTGGCCAGCTCCGTGCTGGGCGCTGAGGCGGGCTCCGCGCTGGCGCCCAGGCCCTGGGACAGGATCTGCTGGATGGCTCTGCGCAGGTTGGGGTGCAGCCGGCCCTGCGTCTGGTAGAAGACGTCCAGCGCGAAGGACTTGAGGGCCCCGGTGCAGAGGTCCTCGTACAGCGGGATGGTGTACATGCGTGACATCTGCGGGACAGGCAGTCGGTCACGCTGCGGGCTCCCCAGCCCCGAGGCCAGTCCACCCTGCCGGCCCTCCCGCCCCGGGGTCCCCAGCTTCGTCCTCGGGGCTGTGGCCTGGACTCTGGTGGCCAGGGGGCCCGGCGTTGGCCTCCCACCTCTACCCCGCCCTCCCTGGCCATCTGTGGAGGCCCCATCTCCAGAGAGCCTGGGCTGGAGGGAGCACGCCCAGGAAACGGGGCAGCCGGGCCTCTCTCTGAGGAGTCTGGATGTCCCCTCTGCCCAGACCTGGATGCTGAAGCTGCAAGGCCCAGCAAGCTGGGGTGGCCTGGACCCCAGACTCCTGCCCCCAGCTGGTGCCTTCTACAGCTTCTCCGAGAACCGCACGGGGTGCGTGACCCCCTCCCCACAGACTCCGCCTCCCCTGCCCCATTCTCCTGAACGTGTCTGGCCTGCCCTGAGGGCTCAGGCGAGGGGTCGGGCAGCGCCCTGGGCACCTGGCTCTCCAGGAAGCGGCGCACCCTGTGCAGGTCCGGGTAGTAGTCATTGCGGACCACGATCTGCAGCCAGCGGATACGGATCTCGGCGTTCATCGAGTCCAGCAGCGAGGAGTAGCACTTGGACAGGCTCATCACCACCTCTGGCGGGGCGGGTCAGGGCGGGGGCAGGTCAGGGCGGGGGACAGTTCAGGGCAGGGGGGCAGGTCAGGGCGGGGGGCGGGTCAGGGCAGGGGGGCAGGTCAGGGTGGGGGACAGTTCAGGGCAGGGGGGCAGGTCAGGGTGGGGCGGGTCAGGGCCGGGGGACAGGTCAGAGCCAGGGGGGCAGTTCAGGGCATGGGGGCAGGTCAGGGTGGGGGACAGGTCAGGGCGGGGCAGGTCAGGCTGGGGGCGGGTCAGGGCTGGGCCAGCATTGCAACCAAGCCCCTGAGCCACCCCATCAGCTTCGGGGACCCACCCTGTGGCAGCGGGGACCCATCCAGGAGCCGGTCCAGGAATAGTGCTGTCTGGAAGGTCCTCCACTTGGAGATGTCAATGGCACTGGCCGAGGCGGCTGCCTGGTCCAGGGGTTCCGCGGTCCATAGCTGGAAAAGGGCCTCCACAGGCCGGGTCAGGCTGGATCCCTGAGACAGGTCCGGCTCAGCCAGCGGCGGGCCTGTGGCATTGAGCCAGCGCTCGAATTCCAGCCCTAGAGGGGAGAAGTGACCCTGGGGTCCCTGCCCGGGCTGGGGAGGGGCTGCCTGAGCAGTCTGCCCAAGAGACCCCAGACCCTGAGTGTGTCCCAGGCAGGTGGACTGTTCCAGGGACGTGGGCCGTTCGGGAAGGCGGGGTCAGCACCATCCAGCACTGCCACTTGAAGCCAGTGAAGGGCTCTGAGGGCTACAGGGAGGCAGAGGCTTGGGTTGGTGACCGAGGGACTCCCACCCTCTCCACGCCTCTCCTGGTGGAAGACATTGAAGTAGTCTAAACCCAACCTGCACCATGAGCCAGCAGGGATTGGGTGGGGGCAACAGGCTCTTGAGATGATGTTGAAGCCCTAAAGTGCGATGCCCATGCGACACCCAGAAAGCTCCTGGTGCACTTGCTGTACCTTCCAAAAGCTGGCATCACCAGGCACAGCGCTCCCACTGGCACCTCACCACCCTCCAGCAATGCTGGCCTCTCCCTCAATGTCTGAACCCTGCAGTGCCTTCCTGGGCCCCAAGCCCTCAGAGCCTCAAGGATACTCTCACGGAGGATGCATAAGCGGGGCTGGCACTGGCCGCCAGCTCCAGGACATGCCCGTCACACGCCTGTCCTGCGCCACCTGGTTTCCATGGCCTGCTCCCTGGGAGTGCCTAACTCAGCCTGCTTGGCCTCGTGCCACCGTCTCCAGGCAGGCCCTCTTCCCCAGCCCTGTTCTCATAGCATCCTGGTCTGGGGCCCACAGGGTCCAGCAAGGGTCAGCTGAAGGACAGACAGGAAATGACGGTGGTTTCCTCCAGGCGGGGTGGCCCCTCAGGCAGCAGAGGCCCTGCCTGTCATCACACGCATGGCTTCCTGGCTGCAGCGGGGTTGGGGGTCAGCCTCACCTGCCCGGCAGTCCACGCTCTGCTCCTTCAGCTCCGGGAAGAAGCTCAGGAAGGAGTCCAGCAGGTCCCGGGCCACCACACTGGTGAACTTGTACTTCTCCACGTAGGCCTGTGTGGCAAAGGTGGGGCCTCAGCAGGCCGAGAGGCCTGCAGGGCACCGCGGGGTGTGAGCCAAGGGACGTCCTGGGCACAGGGTGGGTGCAGAGGTGGCCAGTGGGCTCCGCACAGGCAGCACGCGGGCCCTGCTAAGTGACTGAACACGGTGGGAGGGGAGGTGGCAACCCAGGCGTTCCCCCCAAAGAAAGGCAAACCGGGTCCTCGCCAGGCTCACAGGCCAACTCCACCCCAACCGCCAGAGGAGGGCGGCCCTGTGAGCTGGGTGGGGGCTGGGAGCAGGTGGCAGCGGGCTGTCCCGGGCCGGGGACTGCTCACTCGGAGAAAGTCATCAAAGCGCTGCGGGTCTCCGCACAGCTGGGACAGGTAGTACACGAAGCAGTAGCCCTTCTCGTAGGTGAACAGGTTCATCAGGTGGCTGGGATTCACTCCTGCAAGGAACACCCGCCTGGGCTGGGGCGTGAGCCCACCAGCGTCCCACAGAATGGGGAGGGGCGGTGCTCAGGCTCCGAGGAGCAGGAAGGGCCGAGGGCTGCTGTCCCGCACGTGCCCAGATGTGTGCCGCTGCCCTGGGCGTGCAGTGGCAGGGCCTCGGGGAAGACTTTGGACCCACAGCACGGTGACCGGGGCTCCACGCCAGCGAGGCACCGGTGGCTGTGGGAGCCTGGGGAGGCCTTGCCCAGCCCAGGGGCTCAGGCACAGCGGGGGACGGGAAAGCCACAGCCTGAGCACATGAAGGGCAGCCAAGGAGGCCCTGGAGGTGACGTCCTGGTCCCGGGAGCCGGCCCTGTGGGGCAGGTACCTGGCTCCAGCTTGACCTGCAACTTGCTGACCGGGCTGTCTTCGCCCAGAAGCTTCATCTGCCGGTGCAGGGCGTCCAGGCGGAAGGCCGTCTCCAGGCAGGTGAAGGCAGCACCTGGACGGGGTCCGGAGACAGGGGAGAGGTGAGGGGGCGTGGGGATGTCGGGGGAGCTGGGGGCAGGGGCACCTGCAGTGTGGCAGGGGAGCCAGGCCGGGCTCTCTGCCCCCGGCTCGGTGTCCCGGCCCCCCCGCACCGTAGGTCTCGGTGGTGATGCGACGCTGGGCGTAGGTGGCCAGGCCTTCGCTCAGCCACATCTCCTCCCACGTGGCGTTAGTGACCGCGTTGCCGAACCAGCTGTGGGCCACCTCGTGGATGACGTCGATGACCAGGAACTCGTCGCTCTCGAGGATGGAGGAGATGATGAAGGTGAGGCAGGGGTTCTCCATGGCCACGATGGGGAAGGAGGGCGGCAGGAAGACAATGTCGTACCTGCATCGGGAGGGCGGTGAGGGTGGCGGGCCCGGGGCCCCGACTCCCGCCCGGCACAGCCACTCCCGCCGTCCCTGCAGCGGGGATCAGCCCAGCCCCTGCAGTGAGCTCCACCTCCTTCCCAGGAGATGGGGACAGGACACCCCTGGGCAGATGAGGGGCTCCTCGGACGCCTCCTTCCAGCCAGCCAGGTCCCCAGGGCTTACCTGCCCCACATGTACGGCCCGTACAGCCGCTCGGCGGCACTCAGCCACTGCTCCACCGCGCCCGACAGCTTGCTGATGGCCGTGGGCAGGAGACACGGCTCCGCCCACACGCGACTCCTGTTGTACGCAGGGAGGGTGAGCCCAGGCCGAGCAGCCCCAGCCCCACTCCCCCTACCAGGCTCTCCCACTGCCCTGGGGCTCCGCCAACACCCACGCCTCATCCAGCCGGCTCACCCCAGCCCGAGGCCTGACCTGCCTCACTGGACAGGCGGCCACCCTGGCCCGTCCCACAGCAGCGGCAGAGCTGCATTCCAGGGGCCCCGAGCTCACTTTATCTCTGGGCTGAAGGGAATGATGAGGGTGTGAGGGTGGCAGGCTGTGCGGGGGCCTTGGCAGAAAGGACCAGCTTGCAGGGTAGGCACTAGGGGGCTAGGCTGCTGGGTCTGAGGGCACGTGGGCGGGCGGGCCTGGCAGGCAGGGGCAGGGCTGGCCCAGAGCACCCGGAGGCCGGTGGGGTCCTCAGGAGGGCAGCCGTGGACACAGGCCACAGACCCAGCTCCTGGTGGGGCTCTTCCTGAGGCCTGGGCCTGGGCAGCCCTGGAAGGCCCTGGCAGGAGGCCCTACCTGGGCCCGATGTCTGCCGGCTTGAGGTCTCCGGCCACCAGGGCCACGAGGTAGGCGGGCACAGGGTGCTCCATGTGGAAGTGGAAAACGCCCTCCTCCTCCAGGTATGCGCTCCGGGTGGCACTCATCAGCACCTGCACCCCCGATGGCGCCTGTAAGGAGGCTGGACTGAGAATGCGTGGCCCCACCGTCAGCACACCCCCAGTCCGGGCCAGGGAGACTGTCAGGCAGCCGCACGTTCGTAGCAGGAAACCTTACACCCCCATCGGGGAACGTTTCGGTCAGAGAACTCTTCAAAGAACTGTCACCCTCCATGCGGAACCTCGCCCCAGCACGGAGGGTGCTGCCGAGCGGGGGCCGGTGACAGACTCCAGCAGGGATCAGCAGCTCTGTCTGGAGACCCCTTGTCTGGGGGCCCCCTGCGGTCCCTTCAGGGACAACCTGGGTCCGGGACCTTGACCCTCTCAGGCGCCTTGGAGGCAGCCCCAGCTTCCCTGTGGCCTGCAGAGCGGCTCCTCCCAGAGAGTTGGGGGCTGAGCTCCCACCAGCGCCGGGGCCTGCTGGCAGCTGGGGCCGCAGCCCAGGCGGGGAGGAGCAAGGCGGAGGCGGCCTGGCCAGGCTGCCGGGTGGCAGGGCGAGGGCAGCTGGCGGACCCTGACCTTGACCACGGCGGAGTAGGTGCACTTGACAGCGGGCGTGTCGAAGCACGGGAAGAAGGAGCGGTTGCACACGGAGTGGCCCTGGGTGAAGACGAAGGGCTTGGCGCAGCCATAGGTCAGCTCTGGTTCCAGCCACCAGATCTGCGGGCAGGAGGGCACATCAGCAGACAGCTACCCAGCGGGGTTCTGGGCCCAAGCCACCAGGCAGCGGCCTGACAGAAAGTGCAGAGGCTCTGGGAGGGGATGATGGCTGAATTATCTTGCTGGGTTCATTGAGGGCCAATAGCCACCCCCTAGCCTTCACTTACCTGCCTGGCCAGGGGGACAACAGGGGCAGGTGACCCAGGGTGTGTCATATACTGTGTCACCAAGGCTGGCCCCCAGCACAGGCAGGAGGCTCTGCGTCAGGGAGCCACAGGGGGCATCTCCCAGCCAACGCCAGGGCGAAGAAAGGGAATAGCCCATCATGGCATTATCCTAGCTTCCATAGGGAAACTGAGGCACAGTCAGAACACAGTCCAAATTCCCAGCAGCTCATCTGGTCATGACCCGGAAAGGGAGCCCGGGAAGTGGAACCCAGGAAGCCAAAGCCTCTGTGCGCTTTCAGGCAGCACGCCCGGGCCCAGAGCCGCCCAGAGCCACCCAGAGCCCAGGCAGTGTCACCTGGAGAGACCCCTAGTAGACAGGCTCCAGGCCAGGGGACGGCCAGCAGGGCGTGGAGGCCAGGCCGGAGGCTCCTGCGGGCGTGGGACGGGAGCGGCCACGGGGAGGCGGGGGCTGCAGTGGGTGCCATGGAACGGCGTGCTCGCCACAGCTGCCGTCCACCTGCCCACCAGGGTCACCCCCCGGCCACCCTCTCCCTGCACCATAGCTGATGAGGCTTTTCTCGCCCCGACACACCGAGGCCAGGCCCGCCCCATGAGAAGCCCGCGTTCCCGGCCCTCCTGCCCCTCTCCTGCCACGCCTGTCTCATCTTCTATCTGGGAATTCTGACCTCTCCAGTGAGGGCAGCTCAGAGTCGGAGGGGGGCCCTCTTCCAACCACAGCCACGTTACCTTCGTCCTGAGTCAGCCCTGCACGGCGTGCCCACCCTCCCCTCTGCCGGGACGAGCCCGTCGAGGCAAACTGAATTGCTCCTCACCCGCCTAAGGCTGCATGCGCACGGCCTCCCAAGACCACGAGCAGGAGACGCCCCCAACACGCTCCCAAGGTGGATGAGTGGAATCCACATCTGATGGCCACCGAGGGTCAGGTGGGCCCCAGAGCAGGAGGGCTGCCCCCCCCGAGACCCAACCGGACCCCGGCCAGCGCTCCCATCTCTTCCAAACTTCCAGGCGCTGTCCCGGCCTGCCCCACCCGGCAGCAAGGCTGCACGGCTGTCTTCTGGTCCTGCTGAACCCTGGGCGGCCAGGGTGTTCAGACCCCGCCTGGGGAGCCGTTCACAAACACAGCCTCCCCCTTGCTGAGCGGGGACCCGGGAATCTGTCTGGAGGAGCCTCCTCAGCCCTTCAGCCTGCACGCCCCTCACAACTGCTCTGCGCCCGCAGCCTCGCCTCACCCTCCCGAGGCCCTTCTCAGGCTCCGGCCACTCACACCGCTCCCTACTGCCCATGTCCACTCCCAGCCTCAGTCTTTCCAGACACCAGCAGGGCCCACAGCTCTCCCCCTGCCCTGAAGTGAGGGGCTGGGGCAGACCCTCAGGCAGGACAGGCCCTGCCCCACAGATGGGCCACCAGCCCCATCAGGGCACCCGGGTGCGGCTGCTGACAGGCTGGTAGAAAAGGGACAGGCTGAAGGGCTGGAGGTGCTGCAGGGCAGGAAGAACACTGTTCTTGCTGGTGGGGGGGGGCACAGAAATGTGCCCAAGCATTGGCAGCACCCCCCAAAAAAGTCTCTGGGGCTGGGGGCCCACTGGCAGGACCTCCCAGGAAGCTCCTGCTGCATCCTCCCTGGCATGAGGACAGGCTTAGGGATTTGGGCCTGAGTCCCTGGAACATGCAGGAAGAGAATGGGACTCCACGTGTGACCCAAGCCACACGGCGCTCACATACAAAGGGGGTGTCTGAGGGTAGAGCCAAATACTCTGTCTTCTGCAGTGGGGCCAGCTCGTAGGCCAGGTGAGGCCAGGCGCTCTGTCCCCAGCCTGCCTACCCTGACAGCACCCAGACTTTGGGGACTATGCCACCCTTCCTGCCCAGAGCACCCAAGGGCCGCCCAGTAGTCCACAGGAAGCCAAGGGACAATGGCCACCTTGCTCACTGGGCCCCGTTTGCAGCAGCCTGCCGAGGGCCCTGGTCCGGCCACTGTGCAGGCTGCAGTGTTGGTGAACCAGACGCATGGGCTCCAAGCTCATGGATCAAGGCCAAGGAAAAGGCCCATCTCCTCAGTTATCACCTGTCATGCTGGGAGGCATACTTGCCACCTGTCAGCCCTGGAGTACCACAGCAGAGGCAGGGCCAGCTGGCCAGAGGCCTGCGCACCCACAGGGGCTACACACTCACAGGGCCTGTGCACTCACAGGGCTGCACACCCACAGGGCTGCGCACCCACAGGGCCTGTGCATCCACAGGACTGCACACCCACAGGGCAGGCACACCCACAGGGCTGCACACCCACAGGGCTGCACACCCACAGGGCCTGTGCACCCACAGGGCAGGCACACCCACAGGACTGCACACCCACAGGACTGCACACCCACAGGGCTTCACACCCACAGGGCTGCACACCCACAGGGAAGGCACACCCACAGGGCTGCACACCCACAGGGCCTGTGCACCCACAGGGCTGCGCACCCACAGGGCAGGCACACCCACAGGACCGCACACCCACAGGGCCTGCGCACCCACAGGGCCGCGCACCCACAGGGCAGGCACACCCACAGGGCCGCGCACCCACAGGGCCTGCGCACCCACAGGCCAGGCACACCCACAGGGCAGGCACACCCACAGGGCTGCGCACCCACAGGACTGCGCACCCACAGGACTGCGCACCCACAGGGCTGCGCACCCACAGGGCAGGCACACCCACAGGGCAGGCACACCCACAGGACTGCGCACCCACAGGGCTGTGCACCCACAGGGCAGGCACACCCACAGGGCAGGCACACCCACAGGGCTGCACACCCACAGGACTGCACACCCACAGGGCAGGCACACCCACAGGGCAGGCACACCCACAGGGCTGCACACCCACAGGGCTGCACACCCACAGGGCTGCGCACCCACAGGGCAGGCACACCCACAGGGCTGCACACCCACAGGGCTGCACACCCACAAGGCTGCACACCCACAGGACTGCACACCCACAGGGCTGCACACCCACAGGGCTGCACACCCACAGGGCTGCACATCCACAGGGCTGCGCACCCACAGGGCTGCGCACCCACAGGGCTGCACACCCACAGGACTGCACACCCACAGGACTGCACACCCACATGGCTGCACACCCACAGGGCTGCACATCCACAGGGCTGCGCACCCACAGGGCTGCACACCCACAGGACTGCACACCCACAGGGGCTCTGGGAAGATGATGAGGTGGAGGGCCTGCTCAAGGCCCCTGGAAGATGTACAGGAAGCACACAGCGGTGCACGGGGAGGTCTGGGTTCTTCCTGCCCAGATGTCACCTTGGCCCTCTGTGGCCTGATGCCTCTCTACCACCTTTCTACCACCTGTCAATTTGTGTGCTGTGACCAGCGGCAGCTGGACTTCCTGGCGCCTCTACAGCTGTGTGTGCCTGGCATATGTTTGGTGTCACATGTGTGCCGTCCATACGGCCTGGGGATGTGGTATGAAGCCCCATGCTGTGGGCAGGAAAGGCCCTGCTCTATCCTGTACGCACCTCCACTGGTGGAGGTGGAGGGAGTGCTGCAGCCACAGCGCCAGCCTGGGCCACCCGGCCTTCCCTGCAGGGCTTCTGGAGTAGGGAGTACCCCGTGCCCAAGCCCTGCAGAGCCTAAGTGTGTCTATGGTGGGGTCTCGGGGCCCACTGGCCTCAACGCTCCAGCAGTGCTGGCCAGGAGAGCCCCCAGCCGAGCATCTCGACCTCCATGCCCTGTCCTCTGCCTCCGGCTAGGACACGCTGCAGGCCCTGGTCGGTCCCACGGAGGCCCTTCCGCAGCTGACACTCCTGCCCAACCCTCGGTGTCAGGATCCTGCAGAAGCACACCTTGGCGGGTGCCAGAAGCTGCTCCTGTCCCCAGGCAGAGACAGAACACCTGAACGAGAAGCTTCCCTGGGTGACATACTGTCCCGTGTCCCCAGGGGACTCCGGGCTCCATCCAAGGCTCCTAAGGCTCACAGGCAACAGCTGGGAATCACCAGGGGCACCTGGAAAGGACGCAGGGCCCGGCTGCCGCCGCCCTCTCGGCGAGTGTCCCCAGCCCGCGCTGCCGGCCCCAGGTGGAGGGCGCAGATTCGCGTCCCTCGGCCCGGCTGTGCGGACCGGCCCGCAGCCCCGGCGCCCCCCCCGCCCCGGACTCACGGCGGGGGCGTCGGTCGAGGTGTAGCGCAGGATAACCTGGAAGGGCTGGTGCGCCTGCAGCTCGGGCGGCAGCGTGACGGTGAGCGACGAGCCGTAGTCGGTGAACGGGTCCACCCTGAAGGCCAGCGGGCAGCAGGCGGGCTCGGCGCCGGGCGCCTCGGGGAAGGCGGGCAGCGGGGGCGGCGGCGTGGTCCCCGGCCCGGGGGCGGGGAAGGCGAAGGCGCAGGGCGTCTCGGCGGCGGCGGGGGCGCGACGGAAGGCGGCCGAGTGCAGGCGCAGGGCCGGGTGCGCGTCGAGCACGAGCGCGCGGGGCGCGGGCCGCAGCGCGCACAGCTCGAGCACCAGGCAGCCGGCCAGCTCGCGCGCCTCGGGCCGCAGCTCCAGGCCCAGCTGCAGGTGGCGGAGGCGGAAGAGCTGCGCGCTGGAGGCCGAGGCCACGTCCAGGGCTGGCGGCGGCTCGGGCGGCGGGCGGACGGGCGCGGCCTCGGCGCCGGGCGCCTGGCGGCAGCAGCACTGCGCGGCCATGGCCGCCGGCACTAGGTGAAATCCATGGGCGGCGGCCGCGCCGGGCCGCGGGCAGCGGGCGAGGGGCGCCGGGCGGCGGCGGCAGGGCGCGGGCACAACAGGAAGTCGCGCCGGGAGCCGCCCGGCCCGGCCCCGCGCCGTGCGCCGCCCCGCTCGGGCTCCGCTGGGCCGCCGCCGGGGGCGCTGTGCGCGGGGCGCTGGGCGGGGAGGGCCGGGGCGCGGGGAGCCGAGCTCGGCGCGGGGCCGGGGCGCTGTGTTGGGAGCCGGGGCGCGCGGAGCGGCTGAGCGGTAACCCCAGCCCCGCGCTCCCTCCCCGGGCGGCGCCTGGGAGATCCCGGGAGGTGCGGTCGCTGCTCCCTCCCGGACGCTGCGGGCCAGGCCCTTGGGGCAGCCGCTGCCGGGACCCGGGGACCTGGGGACCACCGGGATCGGCTGCTTCCAGGCGCGGTTCGTGCTCCCGAGGAGCGCAGCGTCGGGAACTCAATGTCATCCTTCCTCCCGGGGCTACGGGCAGGGCAGAATTCTCACGGCACCCCTGCCCGCTCCCCCAGGTCTGCAGCTGTGGTCTGTGTGCTGTGAGCCCTGCGGTGCGAGGAGCTCCAGAGCCTTCAGGCCGCGCTGTCAGCTACAGCACGCACCAACCACGTGTGGCCACTTAGAAGCCAATTAAATACAGTTAGAAGTTCAGTTCCTTCGTGGCAGGTGGAGTGAATGAGAGAGAGAGAGTGAGAGAGAGAGAGTGTGTGTGCGTGTGTGTGTTTGCTGGGAGGAGTGCCCGATGGACGAAGCAGACAGCAATCATTTCGACAGTCGCACAAGCTCCTCTGGGCAGTGCTGGGGACCTCTCATTTGGGAGCCCGGTGCTGGGGTACGAAGGAGGGCCTGGCCTGCCTGTCCCCACCGCACCCACTAGGTCCACCCTTCCCGGCCCCATTCTCTGCTGAGCCGGCGAAGGCTGCCCAAGGCTGAGCCTTTCCAGGAGCCCGAGCCCCGAGGGAGGGGCTGCTCGCCCTGCAGAAGCCGCTAGTGAGCTCCCAGTGGTGAGTGTTGAGGCTGGGGAATGACAGGGGCCACCACGATGTCGCCGTTGTCATCAGGAATTTCTAGGGACAAGGGGCTTCTGGGGCTGGGGAACTACCGAGGAACCCCGCACACCTCTCTCCTCTGTTCCGTTGAGGTGTGGCAGTGCAGGGCCGGGCTCGGTCTCCCCCTGTGTAACCCTTCGCGCCCACCCTCCTTCCGTGGGGCGGGAAGGAAGGCGGAGGGAGAGTGCCGTTCACGTCTGCGGGGCAGAGCACTGAGGCACCATGCCAGTTTTCCCGCAGGACCTCATGTCCCCACGTGCCCTCGCAGGCAGGGACACGGCCACGCTCCTGGAGCACCCATCCCAAACTCACTGGGAACCCCGAGGCTTCCGCAGTCTCAGAGGTGGGGATCAGCCTTGCATCCAGGGCTGACAGGGAAGACAACCGGGATGGGACCCTCCTCGCTGCCCCCAGCGCCCTGCCCCCCGGGGCCCTGCAGTGCCAACGGCAGGCTGTTTTCGACGGCACCCCCGTTCTGCGGGGCTCTGCAGAGCCCACCGGGCCGCGTTCCTGGCTGGAAGAACATCAGCTCGGCACGCGCGGGGCCACACGAGCCGGGCCCGGCCGCCTGGGGGGCAAGTCGCATGGCGCTTGGTGTCTTGCCACCCTGAGCCCCGCAATGGACTCAGGGGGGCAGAGCCTGGGGTCTCGCCCTGGGCATCTCGCCGCCGCCAATTCTGCACACAGGAGTCCAGAGTTACTGTGGCACTTCCTCCCCGGGGGTCCGGAGGAGCGCGTCCCGCCGGGCAGCTTGTGGGCAGCTGCCCTTCTGCACCCCACGGAGCGGGAGGCGCGGCTGAGCCGAGGGGGCGGGGTCTGCAGCTGAGCCGCGCGCGCCTCTCCCGCCCGGGAGGCCCCGCCCCTCCCGCCCAGGAGGCCCCGCCCCCGCCTGCCTGGCGCACCCTGGCGGAGGGAGGCTGCGCTGCAGCCAGGCCCGGGCGGCGGGCACCTGCAGCCTTCTCCAACCCCAGGAAGAGGGGCCGGGATGTCGGGGCTGCCCGTCCTGGGAATGTCCATGCTGCAGCTTTTTGGTGATCGGCACAGTGAAGTGGCTGCGAGGCGCCTGCACCCCAGCCTTCCTTGATGCACCCGAGGACTAGCGAGCTACCAGTTCTCAGACGGAGCTGGTGGGATAAAAAGATGTCCTTCTGGCTGGGGCCCTGAGGCCCTTATACACTTGTCACTTGGGCCAGAGCAGCAGGTCAAGGTTTTCATCAGGGTGCTGTGAGCAGGGCTGAGCCACAGCACGTAGGGGTACCCCGGGCCCAGGCCCTCCTTCCTCTCCAAGCCACAGTTCCTTCCCTGCTCGTGGGGACTGGCAGTGCCTCCTTCCTGGCTGGTGCAAACGTTGCGTGGGTCATGAGGAGCTTATCTGGAGAGCCCAGTGGCAGGGAAGCCCTGTACAGAGACGGGGGCTGCCCGGGCAGCAGCTTATGAGGGGGTCCGAGGTCAGCAGCGATGGGTGGTGCTGGCTGGTGACACTGGGCATAGAGGGGCAGTGACTGACAAGGTGTGGCATATGCTTGAGGCCCAGGTGCACAAGGCATGGGGAGGGAAAAGGCCTCTCTCATGACCACCCCGATGCCTGGCTCACAAAACTTGTGCTTCCTATCCCACACCCCAACTTGGGTTGGGTCCCCAGTCCCCAGGTGGGATGCTTTTGCTTAGGAACACAACTGGGTCTCACTGGGAGCGTGGCTTAGACGCAGCCCAGCCATGCAAGGATGAGACAACACGGGGCTGGCTCTGGTGGGTGGACATGGGGCTTTGTGAGGCTTGGGGGCCAGGAAGGTTTGTGCCTTCTACTTCTCCCTGGTGGTGCAGTACAGGTAGCAGAGACCACAGCACCTCTGCAGGCAGCCACACAGGGCCTGAGGCCTTAAAAATGAAGGGTGGAGTCACGCCTCCAGGTGAGGGCCACAGGCAGCTGGGGCACTGGCTGAGGGGACACGGAAGGAGTGCCTGAAAAGGCAGGTGAGAAGCGCCACCCACAGTGGCCACGTATTTGTATATGTTAACCGGCGGCTACGCTGTGACCCACGTGTATGACACTCATCTTTTCTTTCCCACTGTCTGATCTGAGGAGGGTTGATTGTAGGATCGTCCTTAGGCCACAGGATGCCCAGGAGAGGTTGTGTCTGACCTAGAGGAGGGATGCCTCCAGTGCTGGCTTACGGGCTCCACCCTCACGTGGCAGGGGGAGGAGACCCCGCACATTACTGGCTTGACGGTGGCTATGTGACTATGTTGGCGTGCAATGTTGGTGAAACGGGTCAAAGTAGGAGGGGGGTGCAGATGCTGAAAGCCCCCAGGGTGCCCTCATGGGCTGTCAGCACAGCCTCCTTCTCCCCAGCCTGTCACAGCAGGGGCATCCCATGTTCAGTGCTAGGCTGAGACCAGTGAGAGGTCCGGGAGGTGGGAGAGAGGGGGCGTGCTGTGGCTTCAGCAGCTGGTGGGCAGGAGGCTCTGCTGAGAGCTCCGGGCATCCTCCAGAGCTGGGACATCAGGCAGTGGGGATCTGGGTGGCAGGGCTGTGAGTCCCCTATGCCCCCTCTCCTACAGTTTCTCTCTGCCTACAGATCCTTAAGTGGTTTATTTTCCTGACCAGAGATTGTTTAAGAAGCCGAGCTGACCAGAGGGAAGAGGACAGAGCGGATGGTCTGTGGGGTCTGAGGCAGAGACCCCTGCACCACCATCAAGAGGAGACAGTGACCCTCTTGAGCTGCATTTCAGGAAGATGGGGCTTAACCTGTGAAAAATGAAAACTCAGTGTGGAGGCGGGTGCGCCGGCAGCTTGGGCCCGGCGGGACCACAGAGCCGAGTGCAGCCCTGGCGCTGGCGGCAGGACCGTGGACTGGGCCTTTCAGCCGGCTACCAAGCTGGAGGATTCTCTTGGGAAGAAAGCAGCAGGAAGGATGGAAAAGCGTACTTCCTGGAGGGGCATCTGGAGCAGTTTCCGTTTTGGCTGCTGTTACTGACGACTGACAGCTGGCGCGGCTTGGAGAAGCTTCTGTGACCCACAGTCAACGGCTGCGTGCACAGCCGCGTCCGCCGGCTCGGGTCGCCCTTGGTTTTTGTATCTGCATTTTACCAAAGCTGCTGATGCTTTCTTCTTGTTTATTACGTCATGGCGGCAAGTTCCAGCTGTGTCTCCAATGGGAAGACATACGACTCTCTTGCCTTTGATGATCCTTATGACTTCAGGCATCAAAGAGGTTATAGATTATAAATGACATATGGCAGACAAAATAATTAACTAAAGAACACAAAAGTGTTAGACAGGATTCATGGCACAAGATTAAGCACAAAGAGCTGAATGTGGGTGGCATGTGAAGGCCTCGATGGGGAGTTCCTTCCTGCAGACACAGTCCTGATGTCTTCCGTGAGCCTCAGTCAGGGTGCTCCTACAGCAACGTCTGATCTGGATGGAGAGACAGACAAACGTAAGGTACGGCAGGCTTTGCCAGGAAATGCAAACAGAAAACCAGTTCTTAGGCCCACCTGGAAAGAGACTGAAGCGCCTCAGCTGCATTTCAGTTGCTTGGCTTGAGCCTAAGTAGTAAAAGCCCTGTTCCCCCTGGGCCTGAGCGGGTCTGGTTAAGAGGTAACAGCTTAGAAATACTCAGTGGTTCCCTGGTGTAGTTGTTTGCACTGGATTTGAAACTAAATTCCTGCAGAATTCTGTCAAATCACCTCTCAAGAGATCAGAGGCTGAGAACGTAACCAACGTGCAGGCCTCCCTCTTGTTCCTGCAGCTCTGATCATGTCCTCGGTGAGCTGCCTGGGAGCTGTGCTATGGAATAAAAAGTATGTTGACATTGGTACCTGAAAGAGGATCCCAGCTCACGGCATCACGTCTGACATGCTGCTGTTCATCATCTTGTTACAGAGCCTCGTTCCCATTAGTCTGCTGCTCACTATGGAAATTGTTAAATAGACGCAGGCCCGGTTTATCCGCTGGGATGAAGATGTGCATTATAAAGTAAATAGTGTCTACACCACGGCCGGCACATTCAATCTCAGTGAAGAACCTGGGCAGCTAAGATACCCATTTCCTGATAAAACAGGAACGCTTACTTGCAATATTAAGACACTTAAGAAGTATACAGGCTGGGCACAGTGGCTCAAACCTGTAATCCTAGCACTTTGGGAGGCCAAGATGGGTGGATCACCATGAGGTCAGGAGTTCAAGACAAGCCTGGCCAACGTAATGAAACCCTGTCTCTACAGAAGCAAATAAAAAAGCCGGATGTGGTGGTGGGTGCCTGTAATCCCAGCTACTCGGGAGGCTGAAGCAGGAAAATTACTTGAACTGGGAGGCAGAGGTTGCAATAAGCTGAGATCCCACCATTGTACTCCAGCCTGGGTTGTAAGAGTAAAACTCCATCTCAAAAAAAAAAAAAAAAAAAAGTGTACCATTTCAAGTGTTATTTACAATGCGATACCTTCCAAGTCCTGTGATGACCCCAATTTATTGGAGAACATTGAGAATGGCCATCCCACGGAAAAATGTATGAAAGCCATTTCTTACTCTGTTGTCTGTGTGCCACACTGTTATCCCCGAGAGATGGAAATAATATAATCTACCAGGCTTCCTCCCCAGACGAAGCCGCTTTGTGAAAGGAGCAAAAAAACCTGGCTTTATTTTCACTACAGGTAACACCAGAAGCTATGGGAGAAAAATTCACTTCCGAAATTCTTAACGTCCCAGAGTTCTCCAGTAATAGAAAAAGGATGTCCATATTGTCCTGACTCCTGTGGGACAGCTCTAGCTCTACTGCAGAGGGGCAGGTGAAGAGAGTCATTCCACAGTCACCCAAGCTGCCCTTCCACAGTGTCTTCATCAACAGCTCTCCTGACGTAGTCGTCCCACGTGGGGGGCATTTTCTCAAACAGAAGCATCTGGTCAGGCAGGAAGAACCAGTCCGTTCTTACGACACTGCTAAAAATAAACGCAAGAGGACTTGCTGTTCCCGATTTCACCTGTGACCAGAGTCTGGTTCCTGCAGTCTGTGCTCCGGCCCTTCGCTGCGGCGGGAGGAACGCACCCGCGCCCCCAACTGCGCGAGACTCTCTGGGTATGAACAATGAAGGACCGCTTTGCTTTTGCTTAATCTGTCTTCGGTGTTTTACCAAATGTATCTTTGCATCCGTAAGATGATTTGTTCCTCAGCTCAGCCGGAAATAGACAACTGAAAGCACCGTTTCACGCACACAGAAAGGAGAGCTCGGCGCGACCGGGAGGAGGGACGGGCCGCCCCGGACGGGCGCAGGGACGTTCTGTCCCCGGGCCCCCTCTTCAGGCTTCGGGACCCACGCCCAGGGCTGGGGGCTCTGCCCGCAGGCGGGGCTGGGCCTGGAGGGCCTCCTCATACTTCTGGAGCTGGCACCAGAAGCCCGGGTTGGGTTCCGCTACCGGGCGAGCGCTCTTCACCGCCTGCAAACGAGAAGGTCCATTGAACCACCGACGTCGGCAGAACGGCCCGGAAGGGCCCGCGCGGCCCCGCCCCGCCCGGAAGTGCCTCTCCGCCTCCCTCAGCCCGCCCTCACGAGTGAGCCACGCCCCTCCCGGAAGTGCTCCGGCCCGTCCCAACAACCCGTCCCCGGAAGACACGCCCCTCTCGAAAGTCCCGCCCCCTGGGGCCCGCCCACCTGGAAGGCCTGAGTCAGGCTGAGGCCGCGGTGCCGCATGAGGTAGGCGGTGCAGACGGCGGCCGAGCGGCTGCGGCCATTCTTGCAGTAGACTAGGCAGGCGCCGCCGGCGCGCACCGCGGCTTCCATGGCGGCGCACGTGGGCTCCAGGTGCGCCAGCAAGTCCTCGGCCGGGTCGTCGAACACGGGCACGCGCAGCTCGGCCACGCCGGGCGCGCTCGGGCCGGGCTGCTGGCGGGAGACGTTGACGCACAGCGTGACGCCTGCGCGCGCCAGCTGCTCCCCCTGCGCCCGCGGCGCGCGCGCTCCCGAGGAAGAGCGAGGGCGCGACGCGCGCGAATGGCGGCGGTACCGGCGAGGCGGCCCCGCGGTGACCCGCGTCTCCCGGGCCCATGGCGCCCGCCGGAGAGTCTGCCTTTCGGGCTCGGGCGTCCGCCCTGAGGATCTATTTTTGGGGCTCAGGCGCCCGCCCAGGAGTCTATTTGTGGGAGCCGGGCGCGCCGCCGGGCGCCTCCGGGTCCTAGAGACCTCCGAGGTGCGCCGGGCGCGCCGCCGGGCGCCTCCGGGTCCTAGAGACCTCCGAGGTGCACCGGGCCGGGGCTGGGGCATGGCGGGGGGCTCGGGCCTCCCGAGGGCGCTGGGCCGGGGTGGGGGCCTTGGGCCGCCCCGGGCCCCGGGCTGTCCGTCCGCAGGCACCGCGCCCCCTTTCCCTGCGGTGCCGCGCCTGCGCCGAGCGGCGTCCGTGTGGGCCGGACTGCGGCGCTGGGCGCGCGCGGGGCGTGGCTTGGCCGCGTCTGCGCACTGCTGCCCCGTGGTTCCACGAGGGCCCCGTGGCTGCCCCGCGCCTGCGGACCGCGGGCTGCGTGGTTCTCGTGTCCGCCTCCTTTCCCTTGTGACCGCGTGGCTGGCTTTATGTGTATTCCATTTTGTGGCCCGCTTTGTAACTGGTGCTTTTTTTTTTTTTTTTTTTTTTTTTTTTGAGACCGAGCCTCGCTCTGCGCCAGGCTGGAGGGCGGTGGCCCATCTCGGCTCGCTGCAGCCTCCGCCGCCCAGGGTCAAGCAGTTCTCCTGCCTCGACCTCCCTAGTAGCTGGGACTACAGGCGCGCGCCACCACGCCCTGCTAATTTTTGTACTTTTAGTAGAGACAGGGTTTTACCATGTTGGCCGGCCTGGGTAACTGGTGCGTTTTTTTCTATGTATTGTAACATATGGCTCATAAAATAAAAATGTAATTTCTATTTTCATCACTACATAAACCACTGTTCCTTTTGTTTTTATCTTAGTAATTTATTGGGGTCAGCGTTGTAACTTTCTAAAATTTAATATCATATAATGTCCATGAAGTTGCCATTTAAGACCCCTTCAAAAAAAAAATAAAAATAAAAATAAAACAAAAAAAAGACCGCTTCAATTTTTCTGAGATCTGGTAATTTTCAGGGATTGGATTCAGTGAAAAGTGACTGTCTCACAGCCTTACAGACATTAGTAATGAAGTTTACGTTTTATACAGTCTCTCTCGGGGTTATTGTCTTCGTTGTTTTGTTCCATCAGCCACCTAACATTGGTACCTGTCAGATCTTGATTGCAGCCTGGGGTTCACTCTTGAGCTGAAGACTCAAATAAGTCTGTGGCCAGGTCCTCAGTGGTTGCAGCCACTGACGTCATCTCTTCGCAGATCTTACCACGGTCTTATTGCCCACTTACTCTACCCTAAGGAAGGACTCCCAGCTTTCCTGACATGAAGAAAGGGTGGAATTCCCCCTTCCCCCCCCGCCCCCCAGAATTCATGGGAGCCATTGATTAGGTTGAGACACTGTCTCTCCACCTCCTAGGAGTTGGTCCTAATTGTCTCTGGCCAGCAGTGAAGCCCACGCTCCCGTGACTGCTCTGGCAAAATAGGCTTAGTGTCTAATAACTCATGAAGGAGAGAGCTTTAGAAAGCTCCTCTGTTCTCTCATGCTGTAAGGGAAACCAGCCTTGGGTGAAAGCGGAGGAGATGGGAGAGCCCCGGTCCTTGATGCCATTGTTGGGCACTGAAATGCATCCAGTAAAACCTGAAGCCCCTCCTTCTGGACTGTTCCATTAATCATCACTGTTTACAGTTGGTGGTTGGTTGAGTTTTGTGCTCCAAAAGTCTACTTGAACCATCATACTCACACCCCATCGAGCTAATGAATTGGGAACCAGTTCAGCCTACGTGTCTGTGTGTCTCATTGCCACATTTAGTCTGGGCCAGCCTCTGCCTCCTGGGCTCGGTGCCAGCCTCCCACGGTGTAACCAGAGTGCTTGCTAAGACGGAGCTTTTCTACATGTTGATTCTGACTCCTTAGCAAGTTGTAATTCACAACTAATGTGGGTTGTGAAATCAGTTCTGTGGTTTATGATCACCATTTTAGTGTTTAGAGAAATGGTATAGAATAGACGACATGAAAATCCTAGGGTGCATGTAGTATGGTGAACTTTTAATGGGACATTTTTCTGAGTTGTTTGTACTGGGTCATGGTATAAAATGAGATTTTACTGTAGAGAGAAGTGAACTCGGAGACAGGCACTGGCGTGTGGAGGCAGTGCCTCCAGAACCCCGGAATCCTGGCCCAGCCTTAGGCCTTAGTCCTGGAAAAGCGATCCAGTGGGGCGGGCCCAGGCGTCAGCTCTTCACACACCCCCGCCCTGTTCTCAAAGGCAGTCTGCGTTGAGAAACGCAAGCCCCGCACCTCTTTCCAGGAAGGCCTGTTTCCCACCATGGTGCATGCCTGCAAGTGCTCTGTAGCCTGGAGAGCTCCTGCGCATCCCGTGAGGCCCCATGAGAAATCCTCTCCCTCAGGCTTTCCCCTAGACAGGACAGCCCATCCCTCTTCTCCGCGGTGACTCCTGCGGCCTCCCTCATCTCCTTCCCTCTGCAGGCCTCGGGCTCCCCTTGCGCCTTCCACATTCACTGAATGGACAAAGGCTGGGGTCCTCAGGGCTTGATCAAGCCGTGGCTCCACCGCGTGCTAGGTGATCGGTGATCAGGGCAAGTTAACGCTTGGGCCTCAGTTTCCTCAGAAATCCCACGGCGCAGGAGTGATGGGAGAATTTAGCGCTTTCTCCCCCAGGGGCACCCGGCCCAGGACCCAGGGAGGCTGGGACCGATGCGGCCTCCGAGCGGCTGAAGTCGCAGAGGGCGGCCACGCCCGGGGGCGGGGCCGGGCGCGTCCTGGCGCGGGGATTGGCGGAGCCGGCGGGCGGCAGCGGGCGTGGGGCGGGGCTGTCTCCAGGGCAACGCGACGCTCTCCCGCTGCTAAGGCGCGCGGTCGGGGCGGGAGGGCGCGTCCGCCGTGGCTGCGGTCCGCGGTCGTCCCCCGGTCTCCGTGCTGTCCGGCGCGAGCTCTCTGAGCTTTGCTTGGTGCGGCCCACGCGGCAGGGACGCTGGGAGCCGGGCCTGGGGGGGATCCCCGAGCTCCGTGGGGCGGCGGGTGGGGGAGACCACTGGGGAGGGGCCCAGCGCCTGGGGGTGTGAGGTTCGGTGGGCGCTGGCTTCCGAGGCCCGTGGCGGAGACCCGCCGTCAGCGGCGCCCCTTGGGCGATGGCGGGCGTGGACCTGATCTGGCCGCGTGGCCGCGCTTGCTGTGGTCCCCGCCCAGGAAGGGGCAGGGACACCTGGGAGCGCGGGCGAAGTTTCCCCAGGGTTCCGACAGGCCTCCCTGAGGACTCCCAGGGATGGCGGCCCGGGCTCCGGCGCGGTTCATGGCGGGGTTTGGGTTCTCGGAGGCCCACGGGCTGCGGGCTGGACCCCGGGGACCCTCCGAGTGCGAGTTCCCTGCAGGAGCCCCGGGGGCAAATGTGCGGTCCGGCTTTGCTTCCAGGGTGGAAGTTCACAGACATGGACGCGGGCCGCACCTCCCTGGGCTTCGACGACGGAGCCTCCGGGGCCGGCAGCCCCCAACGCCCACTGGAGGGGAAGGGCAGCGAGACCCCCGATGCCGAGGAGCTGGGGTCCCTGCAGAGCGGCGCTGTCTTCGCCTCAAGGTGCGGGGGAGCCCCGGGCAGGGAGGCCCGACCTGACCCGGGCCCAGGGTTAGCCGGGTTGCTCCTTGAGGTGAGCAGTGGGAACGGCTGACTGTGTCACTCCCCGAGAAATCCGCAAGCCTGGACACCCTGTGAGTGATGGCAAATGCACCCTGGTCGCTGCTCCCCCCGTTGCAGCACACTCCCAGCCCTGCACCCTTCCATCTGTCCACCCGTCCACCTGTCCATCCTAGTGTGAGCTGGCTGTCTCTCCAGCTGGCCTCTGACCTCCCATGGGCCCACATGTATGGGCAGTCTGCTTTCTGTCCGGCTTGAGGCTGGCACTGCTGGTCCTTGAATGAGAACCTGGCTGTGAGCACCCACATCCTGCAGGCAGCAGGAGTGGGCCAGAGGGCCTGGGTCTCAGGAGCTGCAGCCACAGGCCCGGGCTGGAGAGGCCGACTGGTCCTGCCTCTCCGGCCTGGCAGCGTCCCCCCTGTCCCTTGGCAGCCTTGCTATGCATTCCACTTCCTGTGTGACCTCGGCCATCGCTGCACCCTCTGTGCCTTGGTGTCCCCTCCCGTGGAGCGGGGATGCGGCAGCACCTGCCCTGGGGCTGCGGGGTGAAATGAGACGCCAGGTTGTGCTCAGCAGCCACTGAATGCATGCAGCCATCCCGCTCTTCCTCCCTCTGCTCCTGTCCTTTTAGGGATGTCTCAGAAGCCTCTGAGAAGGAAGAGGAGGAATCTGAGGGCCCGCTGAGGGTGCAGGACCTGAAGGAGGCCCATCTGCAGCTCGTCCAGGGTGTGCAGGAGTGGCCGGACGGCTGTGTGTACCGGGGGCAGTTTGGGCTGAACATGAAGCTTGGATATGGCGAATTCTCTTGGCCCACGGGTGAGGTAATTGCTGCCACACTTTCTCCGCCTCCTCCCCCAGGGCCTCTGGGGCTGGCCTCTCTCCTTCTAAGTATGATGAGACAGGAACTTTTAGGCCCATCAGCAGACAGGATACCAGGCTAAAGTCTTTCCTCCTTGAGAAATGGCCAGAGAAAAGCATCTTTCCCAACTTCCAAAATCACACCAATGGTTTGCTACGGTCCACAGGATGAGGTGTGGGAAGCTCTGGGCAAACATTTTAAAATTACAAATGACCATAGCAATGTCATCTGTTGGTGAAACTGCCTGTGTCTAGGCTTAAGTAGAAGGCAGCGAGTGTTCTAAAAGACAAAATGAGAACAAGTTTTGCACCCCCAGGCTGGGTCCTGAGCCCACATTCAGTGTAGCTGAAACTGAAAAGGCCTCTGTTGGCGCTTGTAACGGAAAGTCCAGGGGTGAGGCAGCGTCAGGTTTGGCTGGATCCAGGGTTCTAGTGATCTAACTAGGCCCTCTCTCTTTCCGTCTCCACAAGGGGGTTCTAAGACTGACCTTGCTCCATCTACACAGCCCTGGGGGTGGCATCAAATACCCTGAGAGAGAGAAAGGCCCCAGAAGGACGCTGGTCTGGCTTGGGAATGCGTGAAGTGGTCACAACCATCAAGGCTGGGGTGGGATTAAGGCCTCCCCTGGTTGGCCAGGCTCTGCAGCGGGGTCCCTTGGGGAATCCTCTCTGCAGGGAGAGGGTGTCCGTTGCCAAAAGAAATGGAAGGGCCACTAAGCTGTGAACATTGCCATGCCTGTCACGTCGGCGTCAGGTCTGGGTGGACTGTGGGCGTGACGACTGTGCGGGCACTCCAGGCCCGTCCTGCGTGGAGGAAAAGGTGGTACCCTGCACTGAGTGCGAAGGTCTCCTGACTGGAAGCCCTTGTCGTGAACTCACGTTCATTTTCCCTCTGGGGCCTTGGTAGAGGGGCAGGCTCTGACACTACTCATCCCTGTTGTTTGTGGGGCTCAGGTCTGGCCAGTGCTGAGGAGTTATAAACCAGAGGCCTGCCCTGTGCCCACTGGGGCTCACAGCCCACTGCCCAGGGCCAGCCTGTTACCCCTGTACCAGACAGGGAGCCCAGCAGCATGGGGCTCCTAAGTGGGGACAGGCCCCCCAAAACCTAAGGTGAAGGTCACCAGGGAGAAGGCAGGTCCGTGGTCTTCTGATGGGTGTCTAGGCAGTTTGAAGCCCCCCAACGTTCGACACCTGAGGAGAAGACAGAGGCTGTCGGGCTGACTGCCTGGTAACCCCTCTGGGCACTTCAGGTGCCAACTCTAATAATCACCTGCCAGGCACCCCTGAGTTCTGCCACAGCCCCAGGTGGTCCCCATTCATTGCCAACCAGGCGGGGTGGCACGGCCTCGAGGGCATCTGTCAGGTTCTGGAAGAGCGGCAATTTCTCACCATCTTCTCCATCTCACAGACGTACCATGGGCAGTTTTACCGGGACCACTGCCATGGCCTGGGTACCTACACGTGGCCAGATGGCTCCAGTTTCACGGGCACGTTTTATCTCAGCCACCGGGAAGGCTACGGCACCATGCGCATGAAGACGAGGCTCTTCCAGGTGAGGTGGCCGCTGCGTTCCATTGTGGGGGCGGGGTGCGGCCGTGGTGTCTAGGTCACTGAACAAAAACATATTTAAGTCTTGGGGAAATTAATTTGTTTACTTACAAGTAGCTTTTTCACTTTTAATAATTAAAATGCTATCAGTGATAAGGGAATGGATAGAAGATAAAAGCCTCCTTGCGTTTTATCCCCCAGAGGGTAATTAGCAAACTGTTATATATCTTTTACATTATTTTTAAATATGTAAACTGGATCACTGTACATATAATATTTGAAATGTGCCTTTTTAAATGGAGAACACGCCCAGGCTTTCAAATACAGATGCCTTTTCCCCCCTTTTATTACAGTATAATTTACAGTAAAATTCACCCATTTTAGGCCGGGCACAGTGGCTCAGGCCTGTAATCCCAGCACTTTGGGAGGCCGAGGCACGTGGATCACCTGAGGTATGGAGTTTGAGACCAGCCTGACCAACATGGAGAAACTCCGCTTTTTCTAAAAATACAAAAAAATAGCTGGGCGTGGTGGTGCATGCCTGTGATCCCAGCTATTTGGGAGGCTGAGGCAGGAGAATCGCTTGACCCTGGGAGGTGGAGGTTGTGGTGAGCCGAGATTGCGTCATCGCATTCCACCTGTGTAACAAGAGTGAAACTTGGTGTCAAAAATAATAATTCCCCATTTTAATATATAGTTCTGAAAGTTTTTGACAATTATAGGGTTATGTTACTGCAATCAGGGTATAAAAACAGTTCCATCGCCGCCAAAAGATTGCCATGGCCTTTGTAATAAATGTCTCCCTCAACAAACTGTGGCTGATCTGTCTTGGCCTGGAATTTTGCCCTTGTGAGAATACTGTATTAATGGTGTCAACAGAAAAAAACAAACTCTGTAAAATATTTTAAAGAGGTTTGTTAGGAGCCAATGTGAGTGGCTGTTACTGAAACACCAGGGGCTCACTCTCGGCCTTGCTGCTTGCTGCACAGAAGCCAATCACTGAGACAGTGAGTATTGCCAAGGAAGAAGGCTGTAACTGGAGATGCAGCTGAAGAGACCAGAACTCCATCTCAAATCCATCTCCCTGACAGAATAACTAGGGGATTATACAGCAAGGAAGAAATGTAACAATGTGTGAGAAAACAGCAACCTGGGAGGGGCGAGGAAGCCGTAGTGGTGAATGCAGGGCCTGGAGTCCTTCGCTGAATGCCATGGTCTGGTGAGTTTTAGTTCTTTGATACTTTTCAAGAGGAGTTACAGTTCTTTAGTACATTTGAGAGGACTGAAGGTCTTTCCTGAGGAAGGAACTCAGATAAAACAAATTTAAGTTTCAAGCTTTAAGACCAGAGGGATCAATTTTTATGTTTCTCTGGAAGCAACTCTCTGTAGGATTACTGGGCTGGTTTCAGTCCCCGCTTTTAATTTATCAGTTCCTCAATCATGGGGAATTGGGTTGTGGCTTTTTCTGGCTGCTCTATGCTGAGGAGGGGCATTGTGGGCAGCTCTACACCATGGGTGACCATGTGGCCACCCAGGAATCAAAGGTTAATCTAATATAGTTTTCTTCTAAAAGACGTTCTTTCTCTTTCCATTTCCCCACTGCACCAAAGACAAATCATAACAGGACAACCTACCTGCAAAATAAGCTTCAGTTTCATATACATGCCCTGATTACCCACACAAAGTGCAGCAAGAACCATGGTTCACGTAGCCTCTTCTAAACTGGCTTCACTGGAACCTCTCACAAGGCCATTTCAGTTGAAGCCTTCGGAAAATAACCAGTTCCTCCAACTATGTCCCATTATAAAATAAAACAGATTCTTATTAAACATATGCAAACAAACACATTGTCATTCATCAAGAATATTCAAGAATAGTTTAAAATTTCTGGAGAAATTAGGCAGAGAAAGAAATATGATTCAAATTTTGTTTACAAATGTAGACTCTCAGTATACTTAAAGTATATTTCAAGGCCATAAATAGCCCAAAAGAAAAAATTCTCCTGACTCTGATAGACAAAAGAAGAATCAGCGCTCTCTCTCTCTCTCTCTCTCTCTCTCTATATATATATATATATATATTTTTTTTTTAAAAAAAAAAAAAAACAACCAAACAAAAAACTCTTAAAAAGTATTACAGTCCCCCATTAGCTCAGTCCATGCAATGAACTCCTGCTCTACTTCATATTGGATTGGCAATCTTTATGAACACATCCGCCTTTCAGTTAGTGCAGTGAAAGTTTTCTCTCTCATACAGTGGCACGGTCTCCAAAGCTATCAGGAACCTGAATTCCATAGTCCTTTTAATGAACTCTCCAAAAGCAGCAAACCTGGGACTGTAGCTGATTATAAGTCACTTTTTTTTTTTTTTAGAAGGATCAAAGCAAAACAACAATTGTGGATGACAGAATTCTTAAGACAGACATAGTCAAAGGCAGAGTTGACAAGGAAATTTGGTTATTTCTGTGTTTATAACAATTTAACATAATAATCATTAATTATTACTAACAACATATATTTAGACATATTAGAATTTTAAGAATGTCATAAATCCTGGAACACATATTAACCACATATCTCTATATAAATATAACCCAAAGAAAGTTAAATACCACTTTATAATTTACAATGCTTCCTGTGTAATTCTAACATAACAAATAAGCCTAATATTTCTCTCTTGGACTTCAGGAAGCCTAATATCCAAAAAACGTTAATTTAAGGTCAAAAATACTGAATTTAGAACTTTGAAATTTGCTATTGAAAAGCCTGTCAATATCAAAGGTTTCAGATACTTGACATCACAAAACAGGATCACAAGTTACTACAGTCATTCATTTAGCCAAAATTATGTTACAAAAACATTTTCTCTTTTATAGCAGACTCAGTTTCCTAAACATTAAGATGTAAACAAAAGACAGCATAACCTGTAATCCCAGCATTTTGGGAGGTCGAGGTGGGTGGATCACTTGAGGTCAGGGGTTCAAGACCAGCCTGGCCAACATGGTGAAACCTGTCTCTACTAAAAATACAAAAATTAGCTGGGCTTAGTGGCAGACACCTGTAATTCAAGCTACTTGGGAGGCTCAGGCACAAGAATCACTTGAACCCGGGAAGCAGAGATTGCAGTGAGCCAAGATTGTATCACTGCACTCCATCCTGGGTGACAGAATGAGATGCTGCCTCAAAAACCAAAAAAACAATTTGAGACCACCTTGGCCAACATGGTGAAGCCCCATCTCTACTAAAAATACAAAAAATTAGCCAGGCATGGTAGTCGGTGCCTGTAATCCCAGCTACTTGGGAGGGTGAGGCAGGAGAATCACTTGAACCCAGGAGGTGGAGGTTGCAGTGAGCTGAAATCTTGCCACTGCACTCCAGCCTGGGCAACAGCAAAACTCCACCTCAAACAAACAAACAAGCAAACAAAACACGTGAGACTGACTAAATCCGTTGGCCTCTCTCCCTCTATTTTTTATTCTGTAGTTCTACTCAAAAGGTAAATAAAATCTCATCTCTTACATGAAAAATGCTTTTGAAAGAGAAAACCATATTTTACCTTTCTATGGTGTATTATTAATGTTAATTTTAATAAAACCTTATAAACAAATCTATCTAATTTTAATCAGTTTAATCATAAGGTAAGATTTCTATTTACTCTTTATAATCATTTACAATTTTCTATTAAAGACCAAATCAGTGCTCCAAGAAACCCATGTTATTCTGACACAGGGGCCCAGACACTGTCCTTGCATTAGTGTATTTTTGATACTGATGTTTAATGTGTAGAAAAACTCTGAACTAATATTATCCCTCAAAATTGGCCCTTAAAATCTCATGTACCCACCTATTCTGCAGTAGTCCCTGGGTCTAGAGGGACTGAACAGTTGTAATTTCTGGCCTCTGTGTCTTACAAAAGCAGTTCGTTTTAATTGTCACCTTCTCCTGGATCTGAAGATGAGACTTCAACTTGTATCAATATTAAAGATTTAGCAGGGGTTGGTGCCTTCTTCAGACCCAGGAGTTAAAGCCCTATAACTTCACAGCATAATGATTACTCAGTAGGATGTTTATATTGCAGAAAATCCTATTATTCTCTCTAATATGTTACAAATTAAAACACTGTGATTTGGCATCTGAGTTACTGCCTGCAGTACTTTAAACCACTGTATTAACGAGTTGGGTTACTCACTGCGATATATCTAGTTGCTAGCATTCTAGGAACAGAATTGTGACTGAAAACATCAAAAGTGTGGTAAGTCCTATGTCAGACTTACCAAAGTAAGAAAACTAACTTTGCTCTCCATCATTTAACCTATTTACTGTTTGCCCTGAGAATGCTCATCACTAATTCTAAAGTAACATCATATATATTGGGATTAGAGACAAAGTTCCATTTAGAAATTACTCTGGGAAGAGTTATTTTTGTATTGAAAATCAGAGTTGCTCCAGCCTCAGAGTGTGTTTATGTAAAATTAAATGAGTGTTGGCAGCAAGCTGCACTTGTTTTTCCTAAATGGGAAATGGGTTAAAAAGATGGTAAACACAAATATCAGTTTGGAAATTCAATATTAATTTCTTTTCCTTTAATCTCCTTTCACTTAAATATTATGGAACAAAATAGGGACAAAGTAAGAATAAGCACACCCATGTTAATATATAGTTCTGAAAATTTTGAGTAACTTCTTTTCAGCTATTTTAAAAGGGTATCATCACACATTTCCAAGATTGGTTTCTAGATTCAGTGCTGACAACTGATAAGGTAACTTTCACCACTAAAATCTTCAAACCAGTGCAACACTTGTGCATACTTTGCTTTTGAGTGCATACATGAAGGCCCATCAGTGATAAATGGCTTAGGATAAAAATCACTAGAAACTCACTTTTAAAAATTATCATTACTGAATCTAAGTGAATGTCACTTAGTTTTAATAATGCTAAACACAACTAAATTAGTTTGAGAGAAATCCCAATTAATATAATTTCTTTAAGGACAAGGTCAATCTTT